GACTGTTATAATTGTTAGAAGAGCTTCACATCGAGAAATGCGACGACTTACAATTACCAAGCCAGTTACCGGCAGTAGCGATAGAGGCTTGCTTCGCACGAGTACGGAGAGGAAAGGTCTCTCCTATGACGACCCAAGCCATGGGACCCCAGGTACTGGCGAAAGACGCAATAAACATGCACGCGCAGACAATGAGAACGATACCGACTGTGCTGTTACCAACAGGATCGATAGCTGTACCAATCGAGGCAAAGACGCACAGCCAAGCAGCTTGCCAGATGGCGCCGATGAACAGAGGCCAACGACGTCCGAATCTCTCGACGAACCAGAGACCGGCGAAAGTAGTGGCAACATTGACAGCACCCAGGATGAGCTGGGTCTGGATAGGGTCCTCAATCCCAGCAGAATTGAAGATGGTAGCTCCGTAGTAAAAGAAGTAGTTGACGCCGGTCCACTGCTGAAGGAAGTGGATGAAAAAGCCGAGCATAGTGCGCCAGACAAGCTTGGGAACTGAGCTCCTGGGGTCGAAGCACTCGAGCCAACCGCCCTGGCCGACTTGCTTCTCCTTCTCAAGGATGCCTCGCATTTCTCTCAAATCGTCCTGGACTAGAGAGTGTTCAGGCGTGTTCTTCTGACCACGAAGACGTGCGAGTGACGTCTGGGCACCCTCCCAGTCGCCCTTGGAAGCGAGCCATCGAGGAGACTCGGGGACAACCAGGATACCTAGACCGAGAGGTAGAGAGAAGCCAATGCCGAGGCCAATTACGATTCTCCAGGATGCGTCGTTGTGGTCGATTTTCTTGAGACCGAGACAAACTATGTTGGAAACCAGGATACCGATCGTGATCATGAGTTGGTAGGAGGCGACGACAGCACCACGGATTTCGCGAGGGGCGCATTCGGACTGGAACATGGGCACACCGACGGAGAGGTTACCAACACCAAGACCAGCAACGAATCGACCCATCATCATATGAACCCACGAATTCATCGCCGTTATCTGGATGACATTACCAATGATGAACAAGGCGACTCCGAAGGTCATGCTCTTGCGACGTCCCCACCAATCAGATGTGCTGAGATGTTGTCAGTTTGTTGTATTGGGATGCGCGAGGCTCAAGGAGACGTACTAGGCACCAGATAGAGCACCGATCAAGCTTCCTATACTCATGAGACTGACCATAGTCGACTGAATAATAGGCACAAAGACCTTTTCATCTTTTTGCTCGTCGTAGCCGGTTGCGAAGCGGAAGATAAAGTCTTTGAAGAGGAGCATAGAACTAATCTGCCCAGTGTCGTAACCGAAAAGGAATCCTCCTATGGACGTGATGACACCCAGCAGGATGGCTTCGATGCCGCAGTCAGCGCCATTGACCTTGATAGACCTGGGAGTGTTAGCTGAGGTCGAAGATGGGTATAGAGGGAGGATAGTAGACGTACTTATGACCAAGCATGGTTACAATGGTGTACGACTGTGTCGCAGGTGTAATAATAAAGCTAGAATAGAGATCGATTTCCAAGGGACATAGAGAAGAGGGAGGGAAGACGAGGTCTTTTATTCTTCAGATACCAAGACCAAGACTCGGACCAAGACCTGGGGTATATAAAAGAAGAAAAAACAAAAACGGCCCTGCCCCATAAGAATTAGGTACCTGTAGGGGAAAAGGTCAACAGTCGGGGGTCCCGACAGGGCATGTCTTTCCGTTCCGCGATGGATGGTGATGATGGAGAAGACGAGATGGGGGCGGGCATCATTTACTAAACTTGGCAGTCGTCATGGGGAAGTCGACTCAAGCCAAGCCCGTGTCTCTTCAGAGAGAGACAGAGAGAGACAGCCGTTGTAGGTGCAGATCACCTCACACTTACAGCACCCAAGACTCACTAACGATGGACATGGCCATTGCAGACAAACAGAGCGTGGAGAGGTCCATGTTGCGTATTAGTCTCTAACGAGGTTTGGCGATAAAGGGCCGATGTCAGTGTCTTCTTCATCATCCGGGGTTTCTCCAGTATCTTTCTCCTCTGTCTCTCTCCATTCTCTGCTGCTGGCCTCAGAACCTGAACCGCAACAAGGCGAGGCGAGTAACGAGTCAGTGCAGAGTGGATCGTCAATGATTGGATTTCTGGAAGAATGTGGATGCGAATAACCCCTTGGCATGGGATTCTGGGGTACGTATCACCCACCAAAACTTGGCGAAAATTTTAGGTCCTTACAGTGGATGTTGATTTCTTGGTGTTGTAGAGTTAGGTTTGGGCCTATGACGTAGCGTCCAAGGCACCGCAAGGTAAGCTTAAAACCGCCATGGGTGTGCTAGGGTGCCTAGGTGCCAGCCCCATTTTGGAGGGAGGGCATTGGTTGAGCTCTGGGCTTACGGCATCGTTCTCGGTGCGACTTCTTTTCGACCCGGCGATCACTACGCGTTACACAGTCACTTTCTCTCCTGTCATGACTTGTTGCGACAAGACGTTGGAGAAAAAACCTTGATTGTGTAGCGAACTCTGGGGTTGTTCCTGCGGAGAATCTCCAACGTCAACTCCATCCCCTCACATTCACCCACAGTCACAGTCACAATCACACACTCTCTACTACGTACGTACTCGCCTATCCTTGGCTCAAGTTGCATTCATCGCCAAGTCCAGTGGGTCATCGAAACGATTCCTTGGCTCTGACACCAAGTACCGGCATATCATATCACTTCGATCCTTTCCAAACCCAGCCCAGCACTAAACCGGAAAACTCTTTCAGCTCGCTGCAATTCTCTTCTCACCAACGTGACCTCGCCTACAGTCATACAATCCCAATGAAATCACCTCCCCCAAATTCTACTCCGGACCCGCGTTTTCATTTCGGAAGACTCCTCCAGGACCCACCCGGAGCCGTGGAGAGCCGGCCGTTTACTCGGAGCTTCATGCCTGCTGCTGGAGAACGGACACCGGTGTAAACGGCCCTTTTTCAACATGTATACTTGTCAAAATATCTCAGAGCCCCTATTTTTTTCTCATCTTCTCCGGGCGAATGGACACTTCTATCCCCCACGGTCCCAGCAGTGAGAGATATCTGGGGACTCCTCATTCCCAACTCCGCCTTCAGGTACCCAGAATGGCGGAGATAATGGAGCATTGTACTCTATATGTCGAATTTGTGAAACACCAGCTGACTCTGTGAACGGACCCTATAGACGGCCGTAATTCGGCGATGCAAGAACATGAACGTGCTTGGATAGTTGAGATATATCCCGTATTATCCTCTTCAAACATCCGACTTTTTTTGTAGAACTGCGAAGGATTCTCTTCGCGTAAGTCTTCCGAGTTGACCTTTTCTCAAGGTCAGTGCAGCCTCGGTGAGTGTTGGTCTAGGAAGTGCCAAGAAACTCTGAAAAGAACGCATGACCCAACTCGCAAATGGGGCTCATTCGATTTGTTGGATCATGGGAAATTCTCGATTACCCCTTTGATTAAAATGCAGAAGATGGCCAAGACATTGGTGGAGAAGAATATGCAGAACTTTGTGAATAAGGGGTGATGTGATGTGAGTTATCAGCCATCCCCAACTCAGCGTTGCAACCTCTCACAACTCTATCTCTGAACCACATTTACGAGATAACCTATCACTTTCCAACAATCAATCCGTCAGACAATCTATCTTGCCGCTGAGTGATCACCGCCTCAAGTTCCACTATATCTTGCACCACACTCGCGAAACCTATGTGCAGTAGTGATACCACATAAGCTTTTGATCACGCGGTTTCGCAAGGCGAATCCATGAGCATAAGCGCCAGTATATCGTTTCTCTACGAATCGGAACTTGTAGACACTATGCCTTGTTGACATTTATGTTGATATCGGTTATCCTATCTTTCGATATCTTGTAGCACGAGACTAATGCACTACGCCTTTATTCGCGGTTATCTCCCGCGCTACCATCAACTAAATCTCAGGAAGCTGAATTGGGCAATCTCCGATAGCTCTATTTCCAGTAGCCTCAATGAATGGACGAGTTCGAACTTTGAATCATGTAACAGAGGCGGCTGGCTTCTATGACACTGGAGAATTCAACTGGGCATTAGCTGATGGGCATATGTGTGTCTGCTAAAGCCTGACTAGATATATGTACATTGGCAGTAAAATCCGACAATAATAAAAAAGTCTAAGTAATCCAGCCGATTACTAGAGTGGCGTAGAACCATTTCTGATTCACTGGAGTTTAGGGTAAGCTCATATTTTTCTAGAAATCTAAAATCAGATTATATTTTCTGTCACTACTATTCATAGACGTATATTACCATTCAAGTTTAGATCAATAGACTATCGATCAAAGGCAATAAATTGTTTAAAAAGAAACAAGTAGTGTATTTTATAGACTGTAAGTTTAAAGTAAGTGTCCCCAACAACTCTCCCCTTTAGTTTTAGGTAAAGAAATCAGCATGTTCATCATCTCCAGCGTCTTCCCATATATGTTAGGAGACATTGGCTGCGACAATATGAAAGTGGTCGAGCACCACCACAAAGAGAAACTACTCATCACGGGCTTCAAATAACACTTAGCAATTATTGATATTACACCGTCTCCAAGACACATAGCGATAAGGGGAGCTATAGCAAGACCAACCCAGACTGGCGAACCTGTGCTCTCACAAATTACCACGTCGTACGGCCAGCGTAACAGAGCCAAATCCTCATATGACTGTGCTATATTGAAAGCTATGTGTGTGACCAAAGAGCATGCATTTTTGTTGAAAGTCGCTGTTCGGACCCCCCGTCACCCAAATTCAGTCTGGTGATGCAAGCTTTGAACAACAGATCTCAACTGCAAATTGACACATGAAGATCTTTATATCGCACAGACATATCACGCCTCAGTCATCACTCACACGAAAAAGTACCAAAATATAAATCAATTTAACTCCTTTAGCTAAAGTCGTGCTCGCGACTGATGCATACTATTTTACAATAACTATGCGTTTCATTCTGGGTATCCTTTTCATAACCCATTACTCCCCCTAGTCAACCACCTTCAACATCTCGTACGCCTTGTGGCTGATCGCCTTCTGCACGATCTTGAGAGGCGTCATCTTCACCTTCTTCGTCTTCTGGGTGACGTTACCCTCCTCGTCCTTCTCAACGACAACCTCTTCCTCTTCGTTGTCCTCCTCAAAACCTCCTCCCTCCAGGAACACCTTCAGCAGGCCCTGCGAGTACCCGCTGACGAGGCATGTTCCATCCTCGTCAGCCTTGACGGGCTTGGGAGCCGTGGGGTCACCACCGTTTCCGGTGTAGCCTGCTCGGCCGCCTGCGAGGTTCCAGAAGACAAGCTCGGGGAGTTCGTAACCCGCCTTTTCGAACTTGGTCTTGATGCGTTCGAAGGAAGTAGACCAGCTTGAGCTTGACCGCCCTTTGTTATCCCAGGGTCGGTTGTAGTGGGAGTTGGAGGAGCTGGCTTGGTTGAACTGCATGTCGCTGAAGACAAAGACTCGCTTGATCATGTCCTCCTGTTTGAGCTTGTTCTCAAGAGCCATGGGGAGGATCAGGTCCTCGAAGACAGAGACGAAGTTGGTGCTCATGCCCCATTCAGATCGGTGCATGGCCCAGTACTTCTCCCGCAGAGTCTTGGTCAGGTCGACTTCCTCGACTCTGGGGTGCTCGCTGAAGGTGATGAAGGTGCCGGCGAAAGGGGGCTTGGCGACCTCTGCGAGGAGGAGAGACAGACCGATGGCGGAATCGATCGGCGCGGTCTGATCTCTGAAGACAGGACCGTTCATGCTGCCAGATACATCGCAGACCGCGATGCACGAGTCCATTGTACCCGAGTCCTTGATTCTCTTGAAGAGAGCGTTCCACTGCCCGTCGAGGACCTTGGACTCGATCTCAGCGACCTTCTGGTCAAGAAGTGACTTGGGCCCCGATCGAGCAGCCGAACCGCCTGTTCGAACCTTTTGGATCAATGTAGAGGGGAGAAGCGTAGCGCCAGAGATATTTGCCTTTCCTTCGGCAACCTTATCGAGATATTGGCTGAAACGCTCCGCATCGTTTTCGATAAACAGCTTGGAGTACTGGTTCATCGCAAGGGAGGGCACTCGGTCGTACTTGATGTTTTCGTACTTCTTGATAGTAATATCTCGCTCGACGATCTCGAGCTGCTTTCGGAGGGCAGATGTATCCTTGCGGTATTGCTCACGGGCGAATCGTAGATACTTCTCGTGGTCATCTCTTGGGCTAAGCATCGGGTGGTAGATGGACTCTCGAGGGTACAGAATCTCGGCGATGGTGCTGACGATAAAGGTGTGTCTGTCGTGGAAGTGATCGGAAGAAGGAGCCCACTTGCCGCACAGTGAGATGGAGCGCTTGGCCTTGTTGTCTCCTGCGAGGGCTTGGATGTCCTTTTTGAGTTGTTCGGCGAACAGTCGAGCAATGTTCATGTGTAGCGCGCGGTATACCGGGTCCGTCTCAAAGAGAACACGTGCAGTCTCATGACGGTTCTCTCTGGTCTCTCGTCTGAGTTCCTTGGGGTCGACCTTGTGGTTCAGCTCACTGATCTCCTGTCGAGTTGAGTGAGATCCTTGGCCACGACCGCGACCGCGACCGCGCCCTCTTTCACCTATCATGCCGCCATGATGATGTCCGTGGAGTCTGCGGCCGTCGCGATGGCGAGGCTTCTTGGTGCTCTTGCCTCGGAGGATTCCAGGGTTCTCGGTGTTGAGGACCTTCTTAGGGTCATCAATCACAGTAAGCTTGTCGTTGGCCGCAATGGCCAGGATATTGAGCATATCCTTCCAGTAGCCATGGGCCACTCCATTCTTCACGTTGAACTTGGTAGAATCGTCATCGTTCTCTTCTTCAACGAGGACAAGGTCATCGTCTTCCTTCTTCTCGGCTTTCTTGTTGATGATCGGGCGACTCAGCCAGCGGAGGTTGGTGACGAGGGTCAAGGGATGATTCTGCGCCAACCAACCGGCGCATCGGTAGAATACACTTCGAGAGCTCTTTCCAAGATGGATGGAGCGGCTGTTGAAGATGATTCTGAGAGTAGCAAGGGGGTTCTCATCCCAGGCACGGGTAAGGAGATCCTTCAGGCGAGGACCAGAGACAACTTCCTCGAGTTCCTGGAAGAGATCAACAAGGGCGTCCTGACTAGAACGATAAGCGAGATCGCCGTTCTCCGTGTACATCATGTTGTCCAGGTCCCGAGCTGGCTTCTCGTTGTCGTAGTTGATAAGACCCTCCATGAAAGCGTTGGACTGGACAGGCTGGGCTTCTTCCACCTCCATCTCCTGGGTAGGAGAAGACCTTCCCATAGTTTCGGTGTCTTGGGATGTATGATTCGAAAATTTGGCGGCCTTCATGGCCTGACGGATTTCGGCAGAGGTCGAGTTGGAGACGAGAGTGAAGGTCTCGGACTCATCAGCCTCAGCCATGGCCGCGAAATGTTCCTCACGGACTTCTCTTGCGAATGATTCATTGTGACGGCCAGCGATCATCTGACGGATACATTCTTCAAACTCAGCCTGTGGGAGTCTCAGGGCATCGTCGAAGGGGAAGAGAACGGGGGCTGATGACTTGAGGAACCAAGGGAGGTCTGACTCCGATGAAGAATCCATGATGTTTGATGACAAGCGGAAACCAGTTGAAAAGAAGAAACGAGTGCGGAAATAAGAAGAAGTGTGTGTCCTTATATACTTCAGTTATTCGAAAGTTGCTAAGGTTCAAGGTGACTTTTCGTGTGTCTTTTAATGTTCGGGCTAGGACTGAGCTGAGTGGCAGAAATCGGTCAGTGAGTCAGATACTCCCTCTGTAGGTTTGCTTCTGAAAGAGACGGGAACTCTTTTTACAGTGGCTCGTCCTGCGAAATGTAGGCTTGGATGGGCTGTACTGGTTGCATGCGGCTGAAGCTTGGTGCTTTGGATGCCTGGAGGCTGAGCTAGACTAGGAAGTCTATCCACATCGAACAGGGTACAATTTGGAAATCGCCGAATAATATGAACTGATCAGAATTTACTTATGAGAATCAGATTTGACTGGTCAGAAAATTGTGAGAATTATTGGTTCTGTTGCTCTATTTCTCGTCATATGTGTTGGTTCAACATGCCGTTGTCTGTGAACACCCCTGTAACTGACGTCTATAACCCATGTCCTGAGAGTTCCAACAGGGGTCTTTTGCGGGGGCAAGGGTGCTAAAGCTGGCCGCTTGACTCACCCGGGAGCTAAGGTATCGGCCATCATCTCTGTCCCGTCTCTCATAGTTGCACAACCTCTTCTAATTTCCCTATAGGACTTGTTTCTGTCGAGCCTGCATTGCAAGCGTGTCAACATTAGGGCGCTCAAAACTGGGATCAAACGCATCCAAGAGCCTCCCATTACCTTCAGGGTAATCACTCTGAGGAACATACGGATGCTCAACACTTCCCTCATCTTCGTCAAATGGGTTCTCACCATCTTGATACATGAAACTGGTCACCTCCCGGCTAACATCCATCATATAAGCGCCATAAACACTGCCAAATCGAACGTCAACGCGAACAACTATTTTAGGCTGGTTTTCCGCGTCCCGCTCGCGCCAGCCTAGCTTCTGCCGCATGTCTTGCACCAAGCTGTGATAGTCGCCACTATCGGGCATGAAGATCAAGTAACTCAGTTCAACAGACGTTAGGGTTGGCGATAAAATTTCGAGAACATTTATGACGTCGTCTTTTTTGACGATGAATCGACAGAGGCCGAAGTGTCGAAGTTGGTGCCAGTCGTTAACAGGCAAGATGCTTTGCAAAGGAATAAAGTGGTCTACTTCCTCTGCGTCCGGGTCGTGATAGTAGTAAGATTCAGATTCATCAAAGTCGTCAACATATATCACATTAGTCAACAGACTAAAATGTTGGATATCCCTCGCCATGGCAAGTGTATTCCGCAAATGGTTACTTCGAAAAGAGCACCAGTTCTTCTCATACTGGTTGCCGCAGTGTAGAGAGAGGTCAAGGCTCGCGAACCCAGGATGACTTAGGATGGTCTTCAGGTCTTTGATCTCGCTGTTCTCGGCGTCATCGAATATACGGCAACTAATCCCTGTTCGGAGTTGATTGGTGTCAACAGCTAATTCAGCAAGTTTGCTCTCTGGGTTCTTCCGTAGGTGTTGGGCGACGATGCGACTGACGAGACAATAGCCGCGCCATTTATCCTTCTCCAAGCCATCCCAGTCCCTCGCTTCGGGAAAGCTGGAACTCATCCGTATGAGAGGCCATCCACGCTCAATAGGGTAAAGGAGACCGCGTGGGAGTGATCTGATAGTAGGCGTGAGATACCACGGCAGTCCAGGTGCTCCATGAGCCGCAGGACTAACTACCACTCTTTTCAGATTGGGAAACCGTAGTAGCCCATACTTTAACGCATCGGCGTCTCTGTTGGTGGCAATAGTCTCTTGTTGTTCCTGCCACAACTTCTTGAAATGCTTAAATGCTTCTGCTGGGCTGAGTGTATGTTCGAAGGCTTCTTTGACTTGGCTATACTTGCAACTCCTGACCATCGCACGATTCTCACGGTAGACGTGACAATACCAGTCAGGAACTCCGGTAGTTTCACCGATGTCCTTTTCTTCGTCATACCATGAGGGACACTCCATTTCGTGGGCTGCATCAAAACGTGCATCGTCGTAGATGATCTCTGTGACCTGGAGCCGAAAGGTTTCGTGATTTGCAACAGCTGTGAAGACCTCTATATCGCGCAAATTGGGCGAGAAAAAGAGACGGTCAAGGCCAAGATGCGTGGAATTTTTGATGTAAGTGCATGTTTGACGCAGACTTTTCAAATCGATGTTGGGTAGTTGGTGTAATACCTGGTTAAGTACTTCAGCTGGAAGATGACCAAGAAGCCCAGACGATCTTCGACTATTGTCATTGGGGGTCATTTTCTCAAGTCATTGAAATAGTGAAGTCTTTAATCCAGCTGCACCAAAAGTCAAGTAGCTTCTGCTAATTTAGTACTTGCGTGACTATTTGAAGACATGACCTTGCGTGGATCTACTTATTGCCTACAGTGGGTCAACTTAGAGGCACCCAAGGGTGTCTCGGTGTGGAGCTTACGGGGATAGAGCAGGAACGACATGTCTTTTCACGTGAGACCGTTGTAACCTTTCTTCTTCTATTTCGACTTCACGTCTTCAAGTGTTTACCCCCTTATTATCTTCTGCGTGTCTCCAATGCCTGAACGTTCGTTCTGCGGTCGTATCGTCGAGTGACGAGGCCAATTGCGGTCCATTGCTGATCAGCCTCATTCCAACGACTCCTTTCTTTGATGGCCAACTTCCAATTGTTCGCCGAGTTCTTTGTCAACTGCAGCGCCGACCCCTTGTCTCCCACCCTTCCTTTGTGCTTATGTGCCTTGCCTTGTACATCAATGCGTCTCGGGTCTCGATGAATCGTTCGTTTGCGGTCTCTTCACTCGTTGTCTCTTCGTTCGTGGTCTTTCCGTATGTCGTGTCTTCTCCATAAAGCCAGCGCTTTGGGGACTACTGGTTCGTTTTCCCCTGTAACATGATCAAGTATGGTCAGTTACAGCTTGTATGTACGGTAATAGGAGGAACCTCTGTATGGATCAAGGAGTATCGATGCTGGGCAAATCCCATCGCCGTCAAGACAAGTGGTCTGACTGATGTGAAAGCGACCTCAAGGGCAAGAATAAGGGGCAGAGGCAGGTCGAGCCTTCGAGGATATGTCCCTGTGTATATGTGTGTGTTCTTTTCTGTCGTACTATGGACTTCGGGTGTCGTGTATTCGAGTGTCGTGTCTTCGAGCAAAGGACTGCTAGTCTATCAGTGTGCCCCCATGGTATCAAGGCCATGCCGCAGTCGTGGTTCTTACTCTTGTCTCGCCGATATGCCGCTCTCAGGTCGCTGCGTCGTTGATGCAATGCTCTTCATATGTGACCGGTGTCTCGTATGCTCGTGGGCAAGCCGCCGTTATGATCGAGGGAGATGGGTATGGCTGTTGTAGATGGCCGACGCACATCATCTACCTGCTGTATAAGTTCGGGGTCGAGGTGTGGAAAACACCATGAGTCCATGGTGGTGATACTGCGCAACGATACAAGGTCAGCACGCCCCAAGATGCACTGTTCCTCAGTGAGGGAGGTAATACTCAAGACCATCGAGGTCATATTCATCTCTCGAGCTCCGAGTTCCATGACTGTGTGCTGGTGGATGAAATCCCGATGTACTGGACGAAATACAACATGGATGAACAAAAACAACAAGACGGCGATATCGTGATGACTTCTGGGAGACTAGTGGGGGCCCGAATAGTTTCGTCAGTGGAGAGGCGGGACAGAGTGGGATGCATGCCACCGGCAACACCAAGCTACAACACCACTTGGGCTGGAGAGAAGCAAGTGAAAGTTGGCATGGGCTATCTTTGCAATAATATCTTCCTCCGACTATATGGGGATTATGATTATATTATCTACATTTAAAATCTAGATCGAGTGTCAAGGCGATATGTGCCAATGAACATCATATGAACATGATCATGAACATCAACGTTAGCCTTGCTGCTCTCTTGTGGACCCATGAACCGGATGACTGTTCAGCATCAAGGTGGTCCAAGTCTCTAGAGCTTCTATTCCTTTCGTCCCACTGCACTGCCGCTCCTCCATCTTTTCCTTCGCCCCTCCACTGCCACGACTACTTCCACTGCAGTACCTCAAGGACTTGACCCTATCCCTTTCCCACAAGAAACTGAAATTCCCCTCGCCGGAGAAAATACTCAGTGCCCTACTCCTGAGTATCAGTGGCAGCGTACTTGGTCGTTACCTGGTCACCGGATCGTCTGGACTTTGTTGATTCTGCTCTCCTATAGGCTAGGGCTCGACGCGTCGTAGGCTGATTCTTCTGCCCCTCTCGCGTATATATTGCTCTCCTCTTTTCTCCCCCTCCGCAACAACATCTTCTCTCCCACATCTCTGTTTACCCATCTCTGCGAACATTTCTTTCTTTTCACACATCACAAAGTTTACCTTCGAATATCTTCTCTTTGATCGTCTAAAGGCACGAGTAACTATACATTTACCAGACAGTCTTCGTCTTGAAATCTTCTGCCCCCAGACAAAATCCTTACCCAAAGACCCTGCCTTTCTGTTTACCCATTCCCCAACTTTCTGCATCTTCTCCTTTCCACTTGATTACCGTTCGTCGCCATAAATATGGCTCCTCCCACCATTAACGGTGATCGAGGCCCTACCCCTGAGCAAGGTATTTGGGACTTCTTGTCTCTGCACTCCGACGGGCAATCCACTTACTCCTCCGACTTTATCGCCGCGTTAGGGGATTCAGATTCCCACCGTTCGGGTGAAGTGACACGAATTCTCGAGGATAGAGACGATTTCCTCCCCGGATGGCTTGCCAGGATCGATTCGCAAGTCAACTTGTCGTCAAATGAAGCTGGCTTCTCCAACCTCTCGTCGGATGAACTCATAAACCAAGGCGAGGCTCATACAGACTTCACCCGGTTGTTGGAGGCGAATCTAGGTAACCGAGTTTATTACGACGAGCTCCGGGTAAGTCACCACCAGTCAAACATACTTATTATCTCATATTGACGCTTTCACCTCATAGGACGCAATTATTGCTTCCACCAATGGTAGCCTTACGCGCACTCAGCTCCTCGCCAAGATGGAGGAACTGGAGCGGGTCGCGGTTAGAATTCAGGAGAGCAACATCAAGCTGCGAGAGATGAGTGGGCCTCTCAACCCCTCATCTAGAAGTGATGTAAGTTTTTTCCGTCCTTTATTGAGTCAGACGATTAACATTGAACTCAGGGGGACGATGAGGCCTCATCAGATGAAGAACCGGAAGGGCCAATCGTCCGTCAGACAGGATCCGAGTCGGGCAGCAACGAACCCGGGGAATAGGATCCCCCTAACTCGCTCGCCGAAGATTCTTCAGAGATCGAGTCCCAGTTTGCTCGACAATCGGGTGGCATTTTTGCTGCCGTTGACGGCACCAATGGTACAACTATAACCTCCTCAGTCATTATCGATGATGTTGTGGAAGTCATCTCCATCAGCGACAGTGAAACCATCCCTCTTGTTTCAGACGACTCCACCTATAAGATCGATGTCAAGTCCGTCTTCGATCCAGCTGAGACCGCTGACTCCCGTCGTGTTCTTCTAAACAAGATCCCGCAAGGAACCACCCTCACCCAGATCGCTGACGCGGTCTGTGGTGTCGGAGGACTGATCCGCATCTCGATCATGGACAATGTTGGCAAAAGCGGCACTGCATTCAAGCTTGCGTGTGTTGAGTTCCGCGACTCGGCTGCCGCCAAGAAGTACGTTGCCAACATCAAGGTCAATGGTCTTGAACTCATTAACAGCAACGGACGTTTCTTCAACATCGAAGTCAAGCTTATCAACTCAACATCGTCTTACGATTCCCGACATGGCCACCCCCTTGAGTATGGTGTCGGCCATCACAGCGAACAGTCTGGTCGTTGTATCACTATGGAGAACTTCCCTACATCTGCCATCTGGCACTTGTTCACTCGATTCGGAACCAAGTACATCATCCGTTCTTCTTTTATTCCCAACAACAATGGAATGAACGGCAAACTGTCCGTTGAATTCTCCAGCGTCTTCGAGGCTGGCCGACTGTGCTACATGATTCTGAACCACGTCTTCCTGCCCTACCATGGACCGGCTTTTCAGATGGGGCTTGGTCAGACTCCCTCTGATCGCGATGTTGAGGAACTCACCAGTTCCGTGTCCAACACCATCGCTTATGTCTCTCCCAAGCATCTCTCCGATGTTTGGAATGTTCAACCATTCAACCTCTTCACCCCGTCCTCCAACTTTGCGTATGGTGCTCCTATTCCCCGACGTGCGGTTACCAGCCGCAGCTCGTCCGTGAACGTGGAGGTGGTCTCGCGCACCCCGTCGATGACTTTCGTTCTTCCCCCCGCGTCGATGAAAGTAAAGGCTCCCACTACTCCTTCCATGAATGCGGAGGCATTGCCTACCCCGTCGGTGGTGGAGATGTCGCAAAGTTCGTCTTGCTACACATGCAATGTTGTTCCTCATATCCTTGTCCGCGATGACAAGAACTCTCCTGACCTCCGGAACATTCAGATGACCGACGTCCGCTTCAACTTCGTCGATGGGCAGACAAAGTACATCATCGTTATAGGCAAGGTCTATTCTCGACATATCAACGGTGACATCTACACTAAGCTCGACAATGAGGAGTTCATGAAACTCAAGCAGGACAATGTCCTCAAGCCCAACTGGGCTAACTTTTGGATGCACTACTGTGAAATCAACGAGGTTCCTTACCTGCCCAAGTACGCCGAGTACGGGCGTGTTGCGAACATCCGCCGCAACCTTAACAAGAAGTTCGGATTGCCTGAGTCCTGGAACCCCGAGCGCCTTACTACGATTCCCAATCAGATCAAGTCGTACCTCAACCCCAAGTCTCGAAAGGTTGTCTCAACCGCTGAGACTGAACGAAAGTAAATATCTACATAACAAAGTCGCGATATTGCGCAAGCTGCATCTACGGATCAGCCGTGTTCCCTTGAACACTCCCAACAACGGTTCAGTTCTATGAAAACTGGCACACTACGAATGACACAGTACGGTTGCACATGGTGCCGACAAAGGCAAGGGGCGATTGCCATTATTCACGGAATGTTTTGACGCAGGTATGGGGCATTTAATCCAGGGCATTGCTATAAGGGGATGGATGGGGATTTGTATGACATCTTTTTTGGGCCCTCAGAATCAATCAATCAAGAAATCAACGGTAGTTTTCGTACTTCAAGGTAGTTTAATGTAAATAAGTCATTTGACACAAAATGGGGTATCTCTAATGCTATGTATGTCCGCCGTGACCGTTCTGCTTTTTGAAAAGTAATTACGCCTTCGCCCGTAACGATAAGAATCCATCTCCAACTCCATAGCCAACCTTGACTCAGTTATTCTTCTTCATCTGTAATCACCAGCTCCCCATCCATTCGCACCCAAGTTCTTAGCCCTCTTCTTCGCAGGCGGTTCCTCCACGACGAAAAGCTCATCATCTTCATCATCCTCCTTACGTGGATCTGCAGCGATGGGCATTCCGAGTTCGTCTTCCTCTCCGCCTGCGAAAGCTTCACTGACACTTTTGAACTGCTTTGCAGGAATGCCCCATGATAAAGTAGTTTGTTTCATAGACTTCTTCTTTGGTGCGTAGGACGGTGCAACGGATGGTTGTTTAGAGACTGGTTTTAAAGCCGGTTTGTCTGAGCGCTTTCTCTTCCCGTTGCGGAGGTACGCTTTGATGAGATCTTTGGGGAGGTTGGATTCTGGCTCCCATGAAGGGTTCTGATCAGGTGGCCAGTCGCCTTCCCAGCGGACCAAGAAGTAGCGCACTAGACCTTGGCCTTCGACTTCGTAGAGTTCCATGTCTTCGAGGCGTTTAACCTCCCAACCTGGTTCATCTGCATCTTCTGGATCTTCTTGGTTGGGGTCTTCCTGAGGAACTGGCTCTGGAGACTTGGGGACGCTACCTGTAGGCTTCGACTTTGACTTTGGAGGTTTCTTCTGAACCGACATAGCTTCTTCGATGAGACGTGCCGTTTGAGTTTCTGACTCTGGATCTGGCGTCTCAACTCCCGAGTTAGAGTAGGTGAGTGACTCTTTGGGGGTCCAGTCTGAGGCGGAGCCTGTGCCTTGAACGCCACTCACTAGTTCATTAGAAGGATGTGTTTTCTTTGGACGGCTCAGCTTCTTTTTGCCTTCAGACTTTGAGCGTATGCTCGTGATCTGGGGCGTGCTTTGGCGACTTGAGGTCCCTGTTGACGGGATCGACTCGAAATGTTTGCCTTTGGCATGACTTTTCTTTGGGACATGGGACTCAGCTGCTATACCATGCGGCAGATCCATCTTAGTGTCACTGAAAGCACTTTTTAAGTCTTCAGTAGTCCCTCTCTGCTCATCCAATGCCTGATCGTCCGTCTCAGCCGAATCACCAGTCATTTCCCACTGCAACTGCCTCGCCGGACCCTCTTCATCCGACAAACCCTCAAAATCCTTTAATCTGTTCTTCGTAGGGGTCTTGATCGTCATGGCCCCCTTCATTGGAACAGCCTCATCGTCTTCTACCACCGCAACGACAGCCGTTTCTATCGTACTATGCTTGGGTGGTCTACCACGCCTCTTTGGCTGTGTAACCTGTCCAGCTTCCGTCTTCTTTTTCTCCGTCGTTTCTTCCTCCAACTGTTCTTCCGTATTCTTGAATTCCCATTCTTCCAATTCCCTTGGTGATACGTATTCCAGAATATCCATCGCAGGAACCAACATCTGCGCCGCCGGTAGGTCCGTCCATGACACGATATATGTCATCCGCCTAGGTAGAGGGAGTCCATCTGCAGCAAGTCCCGGCGAGGGAAGGATAATTCGCTCCAATATGTACGCGGTCGAGTCTTGGGGTGGTAGCAAGCTAATAGGCTGCAATGGAGGACCGCTTCCTGGGACATAATCTCTTGGTTTAGACCGAAGACGTACTTCGATCCGAGATCTCTTATGTTCCTTCGGTTTTCGTTTTTCCGACTCGTCTGGCTCGAGCTGCTGTTGGAAGGACTCCATCGCTCGTGCGCCAACGCGAGTCCCGCAACCCGCGACGCCAGTTCTAGCTAGATTATAACGGAGGAGTCGCCAATGCGATTGGGCGGGTAGAAATCATAGGTAAAGAAAAGAAAGATTCTGGAGCAAATTAAGCAAAAGGACTTTCGATCTATGTCGTCGGCGTGTTCATAAGAAATAAATCTGTTTTATGAGCTGTTCTAAAACGCGGCTTGTACTGTAAGAGGCTGGCAACCGGCCAAAGAAAGAGCTGCCACCCGATGACTAAGCCAAAAACAAGGTCAACAAAGCCTAAGACAACATGAAAGGGCCTATAACTACCTTCCTGGGTAGCTTGTATTTTATTTAATGAAATAAAGGGAACTTGAGATTGCTTTTAATTTATAAATACTTCTTATAGTATTATTAAATTATTAATTAATATACTTAGCATTATACCTAAATACTGAAGTATTTGTTTTATAAATAATTACCCTTAGCTTAGCTAAGGCTATATAGTCCTTATTAGGGGGGTCCGGGCTATCCCTTCGCTACCTAATTGAGCTGCAACGGCGGCAGCGCTTAGCCGCGCCTAATGAAGCGCCAAACTTTTCCATCCACCATGAGATCACGAACACAGCTCTACCCGAGCTTCAGCATCCCCACGTCACGCCTAATAACCGACGGCACAACGACATCTTTTCAATCTCCACTCCAAACCTCTAATTGACTTTTTTTTCCCTCTCAAGCCTCAATTGGTTACAAACATCAATTCACTTTCATCATGGCTTCTCCGCTCAAGACCTCAGTCTTGCGCATGCCGCTAACAGGTCTCGTGCGCTCATCACAAAAAGCTTCATTCTCTACCCTCCGCCCAGCATCATGTCTCTCAGCATCGCCGCTCCGACCCCAATGCTTCACGCCCGTCGTCGCAAAGACCTTGTCCCGCACCTACGCCGATAAGTCGCAGTCCACCACCACCACCAGCGAACTCCCCCCGCTCGACTGGAACAGCTTCTTCAAGCTGCGAGTTTCGCGCCGACGATACCAGCTCTTGTTCTCCATCACCAATGGATTGTTTGCCGGTGGTGCAGGCGCCGTTTTCCTCTCGACGGGTCTGGCGGAACCGATCATCTCGCAAATCCCTCTCGATCCGTTTATGACGCTGGGACTTATGACGCTCGCGTTCTCGGGTCTTGGGTGGTTGAGCGGCCCAAGTGTTGGAAACCAGGTCTTTTACCTCTTGAATCGTCAGTGGAAGAAGCAGATGACGCAGAAGGAGGCTCAGTTCTTTGAGCGCATCAAGAAGCATCGGGTTGACCCCACCAACTCGAGCGCCAGCAACCCTGGTAAGTTTTTCATCTCGCTAGCTTCAGGTGCCGATCAAAGTCAGTTACTAACTACGAAACAGTCCCCGATTTCTACGGCGAAAAGATCTCTAGTGTTTCTGGATATCGCCAATGGCTAAAAGACCAAAAGGCATTCAACAAAAAGAAGACTGCCAACTTTGTGTAAACGAAAAGAAAGAAAAAGAAAAAATATCTCACATGAGTCTCTGCTGACTTGAGCAAAATGTTATTTGTAATGGCGCAGCTGATGGGCAGGAATGGCCTGCCCTTGGTGTGCTCGGGTTAACACGGGCGTTGTATGTTGTATGTATGTATCATAAAATCTCTCATCCAATACGACTATCCCCATTTCCTCTTTTAGCCGGCATCTCTTTCGTCAGTCTATATAAAAGGTACAGATGGATCAACAGTGTCTTTCCAAGATTTGATACCACCAAGAATATCGCCGATAAATCTGTCTCCGTTGTTCCCTAATCCTAGGTCCTTGAGTTTCTGTGCGGCAATCTGCGAATCGTTGCCTACTCGGCAAACGACGTATATGGGGGTCGAATGGGGCAGATCGCTTGGCCATCCTTCTGGTGTAGTTTCACCGCGAGCGCTCATGAAGCGACTGATGGGGATGTTGACCGAACCTGAAATATTGCAGAGGTCGAAATGCTCCTTTTCCCGGACGTCCACGAGAAGCATCTCCTTATTCTCTGACTTGGTGAGCTCATCATACTCCTTCGCCGTGACTCGCTCGTCAGGCTGGAGTAACTGAACAGGCTGCTTGACACCACAAAACTGAACATAGTCCATTGAGTTCTTCAACTCACTCAAAGTCAGTCTGTTCTCATCACCACAAGCCAGACAAGTCTTTCTTCTACCCCTCATCCTCACAGATCGGAAAGGAGTATCAGACATGCCACTGAAAAGTAACAACATCGGTGTCTTGGCCTCTCCATGGGTGTCGAGATCACCTCTTGAAATCAACTTGATGGCCTCCAGAGCCTGTAAGACACCCATTGTACCAACAATAGGTCCGATGATTCCACCCTCACCACATCCAACCACGCTATCTGGTGGTGGAGGCGTAGGGAATACGCAGCGATAACAGGGGCCTTTTCCAGGAGGATTGTTTAGAACAATCAGTTGACCTGAAGTTTGGAATGCAGATGCCGAAACAAGAGGCTTTGAGAGGAGAACGCAGATATCTGAGATGAGATAGCGGGACGTAGGATGATCAGTACAATCAAGGACTAAATCATAACCCGATACAATGTCCTCAGCGTTCTGCGGTGTAAGATGTGTGTTGTGCGCATTATAAGTTATCGTCGGGTTAAGGCTTTACATGTCAGTCAAGGCTTCTTGGATGAGTCTGGGGTCTTACTCTTTGAGATATGTAATCGCACTCTGAACCTTGCTCATACCAACACGACCCGTCGAATGCGCAACTTGACGATGCAAATTCGAAACCTCAACTTCATCCCCATCAACAAGACCGATCGTGCCAATCCCTGAACCAGCGAGGTAGGCAGCAGCAGGACATCCCAGACCTCCCGCTCCAACAAGCAGAACCTTGGCGTTTCTTAAGCGTAGTTGGCCTACCTTTCAATTAGCACCTTTCTTCTAACCATCTGAAGGGAAACTAGCCTTGGAGTCCAAAGTTGGGTACAATCATCTGTCTACTGTATCTCTCATACTCGTGGTTATTGAGTGGCCATTTCCACGCTTCTTGAGATTCACGGGCTTGTGACTCTGCGGCTGCGAGTTGAGAGCGAAGATCTGCGAGTTCGACTTCTCGCTTTGCGATTTCTCTTCGAATACTATCGATTTCTTCCATTGTTATTGCATGAGAGTGAGTGAGATGTGAGAAGGAGAGTGAAAGTTTAAAGTCACGAGAGGATCAGCTTAGAACGGAGATATTGGGTTGAACCCCACTATAGAATGATAGCCTGAGCAGTTCTAGCATTTCTATTCATAAGACATTGCAGAATGTAGGTTACTATGATAACCAAATAAAAGCCTGGGGATCTGATTCTCAGTCATATTCTCAATATTTTACTTTACTGACTACAAGCCGTTGTATTGACCTTGTCATGAATCTCAGCCGTTGACGGCCCCTCCACGCTGTATCTCGGTGTGCCCCACCACTCGGTGAGCCACCCTCACCGAAAATGTTTCTCCAGTATCTTCCACCTTCAATTCCACACCCAAATCCTCCACTTCCAACACCCAAACCACAACCCAAAATGGTACGTCCCCCCCTCCCTACACTCCCCAAAAACACTTCACTAACATAAACCCAGGCTCCTCAACCCCCAGGTCTCAAAAAGCCCTCCGCGCGCACCCTCCGCCACCAACGAGTAACAGGCCAAATCCACCCTCAAGCCCCCCAAAAAGTCTTCCGCGACGACGCCGCAGTAACAGACTCCTTCCTCTCCAGCAAGCGCGACAAGCGCCTCATCAAGCACTCCTCCTTCGTATCACGCATCCAATCAGCACGAATCTCCAAATCCACAAAGCGACGACGCCCTTCGAAGAAACTAGCTGCGAACTTGGAGAGTCTAGCTGATGCGCTGCCGGAGCTGGAGGAGGGCGCGGAGGTTGAGCAGGGGAAAGTTAAGCATAAGAGCTTGAAGAGTAAGAAGGGTGCGCTGAAGAGGAAGGAGAGGGTTGTTAAGGGCGAGATGGAGAGGTTTGGGGTTAGTATGGCGAGGTTGACGCAGCAGGATGGTGTAGTTGCGCAGAAGGTTGAGACGGAGGAGAAGAGTGCGCCGGCGCCGACTGCGAATCGGTGGGCGGCGCTGAGGGGGTATATCTCTTCGACGATGGAGCAGAATCCTGCCTTTGCGGAGAAGAACTGAGGAGGTTGACGTGGAGAGGATCTGAGATACCAAAGATGAAGATCAAGTCCATATGTGACGTTACAAAAGGGGACAGATGCAATCTTCACAAATTTTTGGTCAGGCGTATGGAGTTGGAATCATATACTTCGATCAAAGGGCTAGGACAGGCATGAAAACTGATAACCTCGATCCTGAATGACAAAAAGATTTAAGTAAATTGGCATAATCTAGGGAACTATTTGATGAGTTCACCGTGGCCTTCTTCATAAATTTCTCATCATGATGCTCCCTTAACAAGTTCACGCAATACTTCACAACATATGCAATACTCGTGTTTATAAACGTACAATTGTTCTTCATAAGCTGTGCTAATGCTCGCATGTCTTTTTTCCATATCCTACCAAACGCCTTCATCGCTAACTCGCATTACTTTGATATCTGGGAGTATCATTAAAACAACAAACGCGCGCATGGGCATCTTTCTCTGTTACATGATAACCACATCCCTCTTACTGCTCCACGCTACCGCCAACGCCAAGATAAAAAAGGATACAGGGTGAGATAAAAATGACAAGATGAGATAACATGAAAACAAGACTGATCGACCGTGACGCATCCGTCGTAAAAATTCACTTCATTACAGTGGTGGAACAAGTGCATCATTGGTTTTTCTTGATCGCACTTTTAGGTGAAACAGCTGTTGTGCTGGAAGACCGCTTGCCCCGGACTTTGACGGGGGTGAGAGGACTAGTTTGAATCCTAGGCTCTTTAGAGACTCCGTCGGACTGGCTTGTTCGTGGACCAAGAGGAGGTGAATCCTTGGAAGATCGGGCTGGGTTCGAGTTTGTGCGCACACGATTCCTCATTCCTCTCCAAGGAGGTTGATCGACAAGTCTGGTAGGAGAACCCTTGGGTTTAGTGACTGGCCCTTTGGTGACTGGACCCTTGGCGATTGAACCCTTGCCGCTTTGGTTGACTGGTGACTTCTTCGCCTCTTGAGAACGGGCAGATGAACGGCGTGGTGACCGAGGTGGTGACTTCGGGGGCTGTCTGGCGTTACGCGCCTTTGCCGCCTGAGCTTCCATAATTTGTCTGATGAGTTCCTCGAATTCTTCGCAAGAGCCGTAGCAGTCCGTTCTCTATTCGATCCGCGGCGGTGTCTTGTTCGAAAATGGGCTGGCGCTTCTCCTATCTTGATTATTAGATACGCCATTCAAAGGGAGAGGACATAAAGATTAGGGGCACTCACGATCGCCTACGCTCGCCCTCCTTGCGGAGGTTTTCGATAATTCGCATCATCTCTTTGCGGCCACCATAGCTGTCGACCATCTTACCACCCATGCTCATCGACACCTTCTCGCGGGCATTAGCGCAGAGAAGGCGCTTGACGAGGAGGTGGCGCATCAACAAGCAGACAAAGACACCGCAGTCGCTGCCGTTTTCCTGCTGGGGGCAATCCTCGAGGTTAATAAATCGAAGAGGCCGTCCGAGGATGTTGGCAAGCTTGCGGGTTGCGACGTTGGCCTCGGAGTAGTTGGCACCACCAAGGGAGTCGTAGTGGAAGGCGACACCATCGAGTGTCGAGACGAGGAGAAGCGACCAATGGCTACCACCCTCGGCGACGCTCACATTACGATTGTCGTTGATGGGTAGGAAGATATGGGTGACCTTGGAGAAATCGGGAAGGGCGGACTGAACTGATCGGAGGTCGGGCTCTTTCATGAGTAAGAATGTCATGCTAGGACGGAGCAAAACGATACGAGCTTGAGGATATTTGGGAAGTGTTTCGCGCTCCAGATATTCTTCCCAGAAAGCAATATTGTTATCTGTTAGCCAGTCGTGCTTGAGCGCCTTGATATCCTCAGCTGTCAAGAGGACATCATAGTAGCTGAGGTAGGGTTTCTCGGGGGCAAGCTATGTAAGTTGTTAGCGTCAACGCCACTAGACAAGTCGCATTCCATGATAAACTCTACCAAAAGCGCATCTCAAAGATAGGCGCATTGGATCGGTACCTAGACAGGCATGCACGGAGATGCGGGGTTACAGTTACATACCGAATCGCCAAAGTGGCGGGCCATCCTCTGACGAAACGGCATCTTGTGTTGCTTGGATGTCGAGGATGCAGTAGAGGTAGATGAGGTCGACGAACGAGGAGAGATTTCAGGAGAATACGATGTCGAGTCTGCGGGTGTGATCTCGTAGTCGGAATTGGCGGTTAAGGTTGAGTCCGAGGTGTCAGCCGAGCTTGAGCTGCCTGGACGTCGTGATCGGCGGCTCCGAAAGTTAAGAAGACCGTGCAAGCGGCTGTACAAGACAAAGATGTCAGAAAACGATTGGTAAAAAGACAGAGGCACAAAGAGTGGTAATGCGCCGAGGATTGGGAGGTAGTAATTTGTAAAAGATGAGGGTGTAAAAGGATGGAAGAAGTAGAACAGATGGAAGTAATCTGAGCTGAAGTAGAAGAACGGATGCAGTAGGCAGTGTAAGTGACTGACGGGAACAATAGGCAGCAGACGACAGTGGAAGCGGGGTCAACAGTGGTAAACTGAATAGGAGGAATCCGTACACAATAGAAGCAGCTCTTGATTGAACTAGTGGCAGTGGTATTATACCGAGGCTTTTCAGGTAGTTTTCGACCCTTGTGCAACGTGAAGAAAGGTTGAATAAGGTCTGGGGAGAAAGAAAAAAAGAGAAAGGAAAAAAAAAAACTGGAGCGAAGGGCAGTGTCTGCAGCTGCCGCGTTGGACAGGAGGCTCAGCCCAGTCCACGAGCCCAGGACGCAGTGGAGGCGGGGCAGACGACGGCACTGGCATTTTAGCGCCAATGCCCTGGAGGCCCCCTCCCTCCCCTGCTTGTAAGAGACGGGATGCATTGCAATGCGGGCAGCCAGCTTTGACTGACTGATGCAGACGGAAAACCCGTCTTTATCCAGTGACAAAAAGAGTTAGGCAGATTTAGGGGGCCCTTTTCATCACCTAGGACGAAGAATGGTTGGGCCTCCCTTATGCAGAGTGGTCATATGACGATGTGACAAAGAGTGAGTGGTTGGGGATATTGAATGTATGCCCATTGTTCATGACTGAAACAGAATAAAGACACTGGCCTCTGAATAAACGGAAGGGCACAGAACAAAAGCAAAGGCCAAACGAAACAGAACAGAACAGAACAGAACGAAACAATCGTCTTACTCACCCTGGTGTAGAAATATGCCCCGCATCATCTGAACCCATCCTGTCGTGTGTCGTGCCACTCAAGTTTCAAGCTGTAACAAACAGAGTGCAGTTGATATCCAAGCGCAAGAGGTCCAAGCAGATAATCAAGGTAATTAAATATTAATAAGAAAGAGACCAATTAATATTCGTAAATCGCTTTTTAGTATAATAGATATTCAACGCAGTAATCGTAACGGCTTCATCAGCAGGTCTGGATCTCTTATATCATGCATACCATCTAATTCTCGGACTTGGGAATGACCCCGTCCGCGCCACAAACTCACTACGTCACCCACAACCTAAGGTAAACCACCATCGTCATCGTTTCCCATCTTCGTTATCGCGCCAAAAACGCCTCCCGGACTGTACACTCCAGACATCGACATCACCAGCCACGAATGCAGTAATGTATCAGCTCGATAGGGCAGGCAGCTAAGCTTGAAGATCGTGATGCTTATCATGATACGCGAGATCAACAGCACTCGTCTCCATGTGTCTCATGGTTATATCATCCAGTCCCCATCGTGATGTTCGTCTACCTCTCTCGCTTCCCTTTAACCGCTATTCGCCAAGTATTCTTCCACCCTCATCCAAACGCCAGTGAAGCCAGTCTACGATGCTTCCCGTATCGAGTCTAGCCTCATCGAATAAGCGAAGAATGGTTCTCTTCCCATTCATCCATCCATTCAACATGCCTAGAATGCCACCAGTCTCAAACCTTGGATTCGCTTCACACCCCATCTTAACATCGTCTCAATCGACTTAAGATCGCTTCATATCTTGCCCAAATTCTGTAGCTCTGTGACCATGGGTACCATGACAGCGAGGACATCACTTCTCAATAAGATCACTATCAATGCCCGGCGACTCCTCATCAAGCATAACATTGGTCAGGCCCGGAATCCTTACCGCTCGACTAACATGAAACTGACCCATCAATCAACCTTTTCATCCCTGCCGCCATTGAACCCTGATTTTCAGTCCCCGTTCCACCAACGGCCATCACATACCCACAACTTTGAGTCAGACTTGCCCATTACCTAGCTGCAGCACATCCCATCTTCTATCATTACAAAGGTCCGTACAGTAAATCATCTCAATTTTCGTAGTCTGCAAGGTTTCCCTGCATCAATCGCCCATGAAGTGCTCGTAAACTTGTCGTCGCTTGTTCAAACAAGTGACGGCGCTTTGCTGCCGTTTCATTTAGTTGCTGCATCGCCTTCTCTCGTATCTTTCCGCGCTCATCAATCGCTGCCTTGGCTGCCCGCGTCCCCCGGAGGAACCTATCACTATCCTTCTTCCACGTTTCATTGAGCGCCTGTCTCTCTTGCATGTAGCGTCGTTCGATCTTGTCCACGCAATTGATGCCATTCTTCCGATAGGCATCAGCGCCACGATAGATGCTCCCTTCCTTGGCCTGGAGATGATCCAACATCATCTAGGCAGCATGTTAGCATTGAAACGACCCTCGGCATTGGACCTTACCTCGACTAGTCCATGGAGTTTCTCTCCTATCTCTGCATTCGGCCCAGCCGGCCGTGTCTGTCTGGGAGACTCTCTATTGCCGCGGACTTTGTCATGCTCCATGGCCTGTTCCACTTCGGCAGTCGCTTCCTTTTGTCCCTGCAGGGACGCTAGTATCTGAGCATGAATATCTTGATCACTTGAACTTGGCTCAGGGCGCAAATTTTCAGGCTCGGTTTTGACCTTCGTTTTCGGTTTAGGTCTTAATCCCACTCTGGTCTTGTCAGGAATGGCCTCAGCAGCTGCCAGACTAGAGAGGTACTCTTGTTGCAAGTAATTGCCATCGGTATATGGGGATTCCTATTCCGCAGTCCTTCGAAGGCGTTGGGATCTTCTAGGCTCCGTCTGCTGATTGCGCTGGGGCACTTTCGCAGATTCAACTTCTTCCATAGCACTTGGACTTGTTCCACTGACAAGCTGCGCTGGGCTTGTTTCGAGTGGCAACGGACTACCCGCTTGACTGACACTGAAGCTCCTTGAAGTTTTACTGATCTTGCGAGGTGGGTGAGAAGCATCAACGATGGGATCAACTGTCGTAGCAGGTCTTTTCAAGGTCCTTGCTCTTGAGGTATCTTGTTGAACGAGAATATTAGTATCGCGAGCCGACAAAACCTCTCGGCCCCTCTGAGCTGCATGAAGGGAAATCGTGCTTGGAAGAGGTTCTTCAACAAGTTGCTTAGGGTCCCGCTTAATCGTCGTTGCTGTCCTCTGCTGAGAGATTTGTTCTTCTTGAGGACGCGAAGGGCCAGGAGCCTCGGGATTATGCGGTAGGGTCTGTGGGCGTGTAGAAGGTTGCGGTTTCTCACGACGAGCATGGCCTGCTGGTTCTACGTCGACAATTGGGTCAACAAGCAACTCTCCCATTACTGATTGAACCTTCCTTGCTGGCTGAGTCTTCTCTCTTGGGTGCAAGTCTTCGATTGGGACAAAGGCATCGTCATCATCCGAGAACAAAGAGCTTTCAGGGTCGCTAGAGAGCACGACAGGGTCCTGGGTTGACCCCTGGGTCTCGTTCTTTGTTTTTGGTGCCTCTTGGACTTGTAGAGGCTGCGATACTGGTGCTTCCTCCTCTTTTACATTGGCTCGGGTTATTCTCTTGGTAATCGCAGGTGAAGGCTTAGCTGCTACTTTTGTTGCAAGAACTACACGTTCTTTTCCCTTTTCAGTCGTATCAGGTTTCTCTTGAGGCACCACATTCTTCAAATCTGATTTTCGTGTAGCTGGAGGGACTTTCTGGGAAGCTTTCTCCTTCTGGGAAGTGCCTTTAACAGGCGGTTTGCGCTTCGGTGCAGGCTTTCGTTTCGAGCCGGGCGTCCCTTTCCCTGCACTTGCCATGGGAGAGACAGATGCAGCATACGATTTCCTGAGACTGCTGACGATTGGCATGCGAGGTTGCTGTTCCGGTACCCTGCGTGGTGTTACCTCTTTTATTTCCTGTGTCTTTTCGTCAAATTGGATGGGAGTCTTCGCTCGTTGTTTCCGGCCTTTCTTTTCCTTTGGTCGTTGCTCACTTTTCCGTGTATCCTGAGTTGCCGTAGTGGCAGGCTTACTTTCAGGTGTTTCCTTGCCTTTACGAGCGCCGTTCTTTCGCTTTGGGGGCTTCGCTGGTGGCTTTTCAGGGGGTGAAGATGCTTGCTCCTCTCCTTCGTCTTCTTCTGACGATTCCAGCTCTTCCTCCAACACTCTCACAAGAGCATCGTGCTTTTTTGAGCTCTTCCCTGGCTTGCCTTTTGTTTTTGAGTTCTGTGACGAATTCAACTTCTTAGGACGCTGTGAACTTTCTGGGGCAGCTTTAGGTGCTTCCTCCTCTTTTCGCGATGTCTCAGCTTCAAGCTCAGCCGTCGACTTGGGAGGCGTGACATCATATAACTCGTCTTCCGGCAAGTGATCCATGGCTTCTAGTTCAGGAAAAGGTGGTAACCCAAGAGACTGTATCGAATCTTGTATGGTACTTGGTAGTGGTGCCAAAGGATTGTTTTCAGCGAAATTCAGAGGCTCGTCATCTCCGATCTGAGAGGCAGCCAAGGAATAATAAGGTGAACTTCGCCGCACAGTAGAAGCTGTCTCAGAAAAGTCAACAAAAGGAGGTTCTTTGCTTTCCTGATCAGGCTCAGATGGCAGTGGCTGAGTGTTGGGAAGCTTGCCTAGACCGGACTTTGGACTGGAAAATTCGTCGAGAAGAGAATCTTGGTTGTCTAAAAAGCTTGGCTCGTCTTCCCGTAGAGGCGAGCTGCGGCGTGTTGAACCGATTTCAGACCATGAGAAATCAATAGGTGGTTGAGCGGATGGGACGGCTTCAGCTTCAACCAGCCGCCTCAGATCATCATCGTTGAGGTCATCATCAAATTCGTTTGTCGACGGGATCTCAGAGTTTGGAGGCTTAGGATTTGCGCCCTGATTTGGCAATGCCGGTATTGGGTCCTGAGTCTGAACTGCACGAGGAGACTGATCGTGACGGTTTGGGGTAGTGTCGAGTTGCCCGAGGGCCACAATCCTCGCTGAATGCCGCGTACGCTTTGAGCGTGGAGCAGACTTCCCACCCCTTCGCGCCGGCATTGGTGCAGACTGCAAGACTGTCAGTGGTTGAAACTGTAGTGGAGGGGTGCACAACGCTCGTTGTAGGTGATCTGACTTACAGTTCCCCCAAATGATTGGAGGGTATAATTTGGGTTGTCACCTGGGTGGGCGAAGGAGAGATAAAACGATGCCGAGATCACGAGCAGGATCCAAGAATGTTTAAGAACGTAGAGTAATTTTGAAAAAGGTTTTTGGCTTGCTGAGGTGGGTATGAGCAGGTAATGGAAGCTGATGACAAAAGGGAAGGAGCGGACACACTCGTGAGGTCGATGAATGCCTCTTGCCTGCTTCATTGCGATGGCACTTGCCTAAGGTAATCATTCATGAATCACTGCATGAGAATGGATTTTCTAAGGTTTCCGCAAGTTACGATAAATCAAAGCGTTGCAAACATCAGGGCTACAGGTTGCAGCACGATAGTACTCATTCTATTATCAAAGACACAGCTAGTTCTCAACAACTCCAATTCCAATACTAACAAGTCAACTTGAGGTACACTTAGCGCACACAAACCAAATTTCCCTATCTGCTCTAGCATACAGATATCAAGGAAATTCCTTGATAACAAATAAAACAATGAATGTAGCCGATAAGGTGGTAGACAACGTCAGTTGTTGAAGTGGTCCAAATTGGTCCGGCTTACCCTGCACAACCGGAGGGTTTCTGGTTACAATGGAGGAATTCATCAATGTTGATCTACGATCTATCGCGTCGGGCCATCGCTTGGTAATCTTTCAGCAAGCCAATTCGTCAGGGAATCTTGGCAAAGCCCGATAGTCCGGGATTCATCAAAAGCGAAGCGGACTTTAACTGCGGACCATCGGTCGGCGCAACTATTCCCATGCCTGACCCGCGCGGCGCATTATTCAGCAGCTTGCAAGGGGACGCCCACTATCTCCGCTCCGCCCGAATCGATGACCCGTTTCATGATGAACAACGTCTTTATCTCCCTGGAAATCCCATCCTTTGAACGTTTATTACGATTGTTTAGTATTTGTGAGCGATTCGCTTTATATTTCCCTCCTACGCCACCTGGCAGGATTACCGTTTTACCTTAGCGACACTTGTGCAACGGCCCTATCAACCAGTTGTAAGCTTACGTCTAAGCTTCCAAGGTTCTCACTCGACGTCATGTCAAACCCAATGAACGCCCGCGACGCAGCCAGTAACTGTTCGCTCTCTGTCGTCCTGCGCAAGTTCAGTGTTCTTGCGCAGCGGACCGAACCGAAGAAGTATCCGCCGATCTCTTCTATCCCTCGTACATCAGCTGCACGTCTAGCTCAAGCTGCTGAGGATCATATCGTCGATCGAGACCATCCTGCGCCAAAGACGTATCTGTATCTCGCTTATGGATCCAACCTCGCCGCCGAGACATTTCTGGGCGTTCGTGGCATTAGACCTCTGTCTCAGGTGAACGTCTCGGTGCCGACGTTGGAGCTTAAGTTCAACCTTCCAGGAATTCCTTATCGCGAGCCATGCTTTGCGAACGTCGATTACAGAAAGCTTCCCGAGAAGCCAAAGCTACCTCCCAAGGTGCCAGTCCCACCTTTTGAGCCTCCGCAGCCACCACACTCTGAGGAGATTAGGTGGGATGAAGGTCTTATGGGTGTAGTCTACGAGGTGACAGAGGAGGATTACCGCACCATCATCCGCACTGAAGGTGGCGGAGCAGGCTACAAAGAGATTGTTGTACCCTGTATACCACTGCCGCCCAAGATGTCCATCCCTGAGAAGCCGTTCCCTGATATCCCTCGACCCTTTCTGTCAAGAACACTTTTTGCGCCACAGATTCCTGACAAGGACTTGCCTGATGACCCTCGCAAGCACAAGTGGTGGTATCGCTTCCTGCTTGGTCCCCAGCGTGAACCTGGCTATGCCCAAGCCAGTGCTCGATATCTTAATCTCATTAAAGACGGTGCCAAAGAACACGAACTTCCCGATGGATATCAGCGTTACCTGCACTCACTACAGCCATACACGATAACAACGTTAAGACAGAGGATAGGAGCATTCTTTTTCCTGTTCTTCACTGTCTTTTTCTTCGGAACGGTCATTCTTCTGTCCAAGTTTCTGGCAGACAAGCGCGGCAGAGTGCCCCAATGGTTAGCTGTCACCATGACTGTTATGTTTACTGTGGCCTGGATGGTTTATGATAATGTTTTCAAGCCTGTGTTTGGGAATGGTGAGAGGACTGAAGAGAAGGACGAGAGGAAATCGCACGGGCGGAAACGTTCCTTGTCGGCCATGCTTAATCACTTCCCATCGGCAGATGAAGAGAAAGTGGAGTTGTTGGCCGAGTATAACTGAAAGGACGACGGATTAAGGTGGAATTTGACTCTTCTTAATCGCTGAGTTATGGGACATGCCTATTTTTCATATTGGCCTATCGAGACTGATCAGCTTTCACAATTACAAAAGTTTCGTTTGGAGAGTGATATTAGTTTCATATCAAATATTTCAGATAACCAAATGCAGGCATTCGTATCCGTTAAATACACTGATTTCTACACGGATAAAAGGGATGGGAGTGAGACGACTCCGTTGGGGTAAACTTGGCAACGTCAACATGCAGTTGAGCTCTAGCGCCCTCGAACCCATTACAATGCAACGATACACCCTCGGCAGGAAACTATATCGTGATATGAAGCGACTCTTAGCAGCGACAACCTCAAAATTTGCATCATTTGATCCAAGCCCATGATTTCTTTCTGTTCTTTAACATGTGCTCGTCACGCGACAAGGGGATCGGCCCGCGGGTCACGGAATGGGGCTCGGTGCTGTAGCTGTTCCTGGATTATGCATCTTTGCCCCCTTGTCTCCCGGAGAATCCTAGACTTTGCAGGTAGAGATCCTTGTTTCGAGGTTGTTTGTTCGACATGTGAAATCCCACTTGAAAAAAAGTTGAATTGGAATTTTATGTTGTTTCCATGTGATTGAGGCCATCGTTGAGAGTGAATTTATTCTTCAAGCATACTTCATACAGTGTTTTAACTTATATGACCATAACTCTGCGCTTCTTTTATAAAAATAGCTTCCAATTGACATATGCAGCCACAGCAATTCCTATCTGCTTGCACGTGAAAAACTGCCCCTCGGCCTCATCAAGGTCTCGAGATTTCTCCAGCTCCATTATCACGGATATCAATGGGGTTTTGATGGGACGCTTTCCCCCTTGGAGCAGGCGGTGTCACTTAACTCATTCTGCCATGCGTCATTGTGGCTTGCTCCAGGGTTCAACAACCTGGAAAGCTGGAGCTGGCGTCCCTCGGGACTATTCAGCTTCAGTACCCCTCATAAAGCTCTTTTTTCGCCCTTACTTACCTTTACACAAACTTTCTTCTCCCCCGTATGTTTCGATCGCTTGTAGTGCGCTCTTCTTTTGTCTTTGCTAAATCCTCGAGATTACTCTCTTGTACTACTCATATCCGCACTTATTCTTCTGCAACATTCGGCAACATGGCGAGCTTGGGTGGACATTCAAAGAAGCACAAGGTGACCATTGTGGGATCTGGTAACTGGTATGTCTTCCGCTTCTCCGGCGCTGTCTCTATATTTGCTTGAGCCATTGACTAACACTACTGTCCAGGGGCTCAACAATTGCCAAGATCGTCGCTGAAAACACACGCGCCAACAAAGATCTCTTCGAGGAAGATGTCCAGATGTGGGTCTACGAGGAGGACGTGACGATCACCAAGGACTCCAAATTATATGACGAAACCACCGGCGACAAGCCCCAGAAGCTCACAGAAGTCATCAACAAACACCACGAGAACGTAAAGTACCTGCCCGGTATTCCTCTGCCATCAAACATCATAGCCAACCCCGACATCCGCGACGCTGTCAAGGACTCCACCATCCTCGTCTTCAACTTGCCCCATCAGTTTATCGCAAACGTCTGCAAGCAGGTCAACGGACACATTCTTCCCTATGCTAGAGGAATCAGCTGTATCAAGGGTGTCAACGTCACTGATGACGGCATCAGCCTGTTCAGCGAGTGGATTGGTGATGGTCTGGGCATTTACTGTGGTGCCCTCAGCGGTGCCAACTTGGCTCGTGAAATTGCCGAGGAGAAGTGGTCAGAGACTACTATTGCTTACGATCCTCCTGCTCTCGATAACAGCAGAGCTCCCACACCACGAACTGGTAGCCCCAACCCTACAATTGGCGAGCTCCCTGAGATGCAGCACAAGGATGTTCGGGGCCGAACTTCCAAGACCAAGCTCACCGCTATGCCTGCTGATTATCCTCCCCTGGATCAGGATTGCTTCCGAACGCTCTTCCACCGACCTTACTTCCACGTCCAGATGGTCTCCGATGTTGCGGGTGTATCTCTTAGCGGTGCCCTGAAGAACGTAGTCGCTCTCGCAGCTGGTTTCGTCGACGGCCGTGGTTGGGGTGATAACGCAAAGGCAGCCATTATGCGCGTCGGTCTCATGGAGATGGTCAAGTTCGGCAAGGAATTCTTCGGCGAGACCGTCCACACAGCTACTTTCACCGAATCCTCCGCCGGTGTCGCCGATCTCATCACATCCTGCTCCGGCGGTCGTAACTTCCGCTGTGCCAAGAAGGCTGTCGAGAAGGGAATCTCCGTGCAAGAGGTTGAGAAGCAGGATCTCAACGGACAAAAGATCCAGGGTACTACCACCGCAGAGGAAGTGAACAGTTTCCTCAAGGCTCGCGGGTTGGAGTCGGAGTATCCGCTGTTCACAGCGGTGAATGCCATTCTCAACGGACAGGCCAAGGTGGACGACATCCCCCACCTTGTGCAGGATTCTTGATTTTGAAAGATGAAATATTTAGCGAGTGTATCGTTGATTGTATGTATGCACTGTGGCGTTTGTCTGGCTTGTGTGGTTCTACATGGTTTACTCGGATCAGGAGGGAATGGGTAGTGATTTAGAGTCATGAGTGATTGGGGCTGTACTTTGCTGAGTGGAAGGGTCTGACATATACATGAAAATGAACATAGAAATGATATCTATTTATGAATGCAGCTATTCTTTGAGAATGCTTTACTATTCTGTATGAGGAGTCGTGGTTTGGCTGCGTTTGAGACACTGAACATTCCTGGACATGAGAACGGATAGTTTGAGGCTGAGACCTGCATAGTTGCTGAAGATTCTATCGTAAACACTACCTATTGCGGCTTGGCAGGGTCCTTCGTTGTTTGTACAGACCAACAGTTCGTGTAAGTGAAGCGCGAAACGACATTCACAACGTTTTTGTTAAGAAGGATCCTGGTTCTCGGAATTATTCTCAACTTGGTAAGATACTGTTTAAGAAGATGAACCGGAAGATATTGATAGAAAACACTTAATCTAGTCGAATTCACGAGAATGGAGGAGGATTACGCGGTGGAAGCCGCAATGGGCATGAGATTCCGCCTTCATATGAGACAGGATAACATGGCGACGGGAAAGGCCGAGCAACGAATGCCTTTTACATCACCAGAAATCTCGCTTTTCTTCTGCGTCTTCTACCATTACCTTCTTTTTCAATTCGGCTCTTGACATTCATTTTCTTCTCTGTTTCATTTTATTGACCCTAGCCAGCTTCTTCAAGCATCACCGTTGTCTTTTCTCAGCTCTCTCTCTCTCAATAAGCTGACTTTTGCTTCACCTGCTTGCTTCATTTTATTCCAAAACTCGCGTTGCTTCACGATATCCGGCAGATCAAAGCTGCAGTGCTCGATAGCGCGTCATGGCGGATGTTAACTTAACCGTCCAACAGACATCGATGGACCCTAATCAGAATTTCGGACACTACATGAACGCGGCCGATCAGAGCAGCAGGGAAAATGGCGCCGCTCAGAAGAAACATAAGAATGTTAAATACCGCTTCCTGTCACCTACAGAATGGGCCATCCTAGCTCGAGGAGTTGGCGGAATCAAGGACATAGAGGATAACAAACCTGTTCATCCGACCAGTAGCTTATGGCCCCCGAACGGCATTCCTCATGGCCTCTATCGCGACTGCATCTACCGTCGTACCGTTTCATCCTACTCATTTCACCTAATCGGCTTCATTCGTGCAATCTTTTTTGTTCTGCAGTTGATGATTGGTGCTAGCATCACAGCTCTCAGCGCTGGAGGCCAAAATGATACAGCCATCACTATTCTCGCTGCGTCCAACACAGTCATCGCGGGGCTGCTGGCTCTGTTGCACAACAGCGGTATTCCCGACCGATACAGATACGATAAGTCCGAGTTTCAAAAGGTCGAAGATCACATTAGAGAAGTTCTCGCCACGGGTATTGTACGTGCGGACCAGTCGGTCCAAGAGGCTATCGCTAAGTGCTACGATCGTCTCGAACACGCCAGACGAACTGTTGAAGCCAATATGCCCTCGGCTTACTCCCCAAGTTCATCAGCAACACCGCCTTCACGACGCGGATCCCAACCTCAACATCTGCCAATACCGCCGATGCCAATGCCTATGCCGATACCAGCACGGGCACCGACGACAGTGGCATCAACACCGACACACACGAGGGCAGCGACAGAACCTATCACACCGCCTAGGAAGAAGTCACTAAATGCTGAAGCAGCCCACGAAGAAAAGGGTCCAACCACCAGCAAGTCTAGCGAATGATAGGATGCAGGGCTAGAGCTCGGCAAAGAATCTCCAACGGGATGCGGTCATTTCCTAACTAGCTTGCCGCTTATCAGATAAATTACCTACCGAAATCGACTTACTTTGCGACTAGGGCCGTTGTTGTACCTGCATTAGTCTGATTATTGGCAAGAGATTAAATTACCACTCAACCTAGTTCTCGTTCCGTCATAGCCTCTCACCCGCCAGGATTCAACATCAGCATCCTTCATGCATTCATTGGGACTTTGAATAGACGCTGTCAGAAACAGGAGTCAAGAGATGTTCAATACTGACACTGACCCCCAATTGTTTCTCATTACTGCATTTGGACATATCGTGACCTGAGACCTCCACTGATCAACCATGAAACGAACCACGGACCTTGTCACAGTTTAATTGCTCGCCTTGGCCTTTCCCCTCTTTAACCGTTATTGACGTGGTGCGACCAGGGATCATGGTCTGGGGCGCCTAGTTTCATGATGCTTTGAAGGATGACCTCCCCCCACTGCGCCCATTTACCACTTACACTAGACAAGGGCATTGTGACAGTCTGTCACTCTACGCCATTCGAGTCTAATTTACTTAAAATCTCTCGCTGTGCCTCACGACTCGCGAGTTGAAAGCCTCTTCTTTGCTTCTTCTCCTTCACCGTAGTCAGTCCTTACCCGCCTCTCGCAGCGTGATCATGCCTTTGTTATAGCCAGGCAACACACTCATTTACCCAGGTTATACCCACCCAAGTCACTCTTTTTACTGGATTGGATCGTCTGTTCATCATGATTATGATTTCTAGCCCGCCTACTCTTCCCCGCAGGGTTGTTCAGCTGCTTGTTCTCGTTGTCGTTGTTATTCTCTTCTTTCAGACAAGATGGCTGCACTGGCCTCGAACAAAGGCTGATACTGAGATAGCCATCAAAGGACCAGTTCCGGAAGAGCAGTGCCTCGAGCGACTAAGGCAGAAAATTGGACTTTCGGATCAAACGTCATGGACTGCGTGGAAAGTCCGTGTTTCAGAGCAGGACTCTGAGTATACTTCAGTCACGAACATTGATACAGACTTTCATTCAAATCAACCACGAATTATCGATACCAAGACTCCCGAGAGGAGGAATCTGGTTGCACGACAGGAACTGAACCTTCCGATTGTAGGAGGACCGAAACCAGGACAGATCGACGCCTCGGACTTTGTGTTTGCGATCTCGACGAGTTTTGATCGCGTTGTTAGGGATGATTACACTGTTGCGAAGGATTGGGCACGGTGGATGACTGGTGGGAATGAGCATGGCAACGGAGCGAGTTTTCTGCTTGTTCTGGATCAGGGACATTATCAACAAGCGAAGAAGCTGACTGAGGTTTTGGTGTCATTGGGTATCGATGCTCATGTTACTATCTCTGAGGGTCCGATCTCGACGGCCAAGAGATACTTCAACATGATGGAGTCTGTCAAGAAGTATAGCGCTACACTCGCACAGAAAGGGCAGATGAAGAGATGGTACGGCATCTTGGACGAGGAGATCTTTTTACCGAATCTTTCGTATCTCCAGGAACGACTATTCGCGTACAACTCTGAGAAGGAATTGTACATTGGATTGCCGAGCGAGAGAGGAGATTGGGCTATCGGCGAAGGATTCATGACAACCTATGGAGGCGGGGCTATCTTTCTCACACGACCAGCTATCTCCAAGGTTACACATCTTCCATGCTTTGACGGTGTCGAAGACAGTCCTACGAGCAAGAAACGCTGGGACGGCATTCTTCAGGACTGTCTGGCGAAGCATACCAAGATGAAGATGCACATCATTCCAAGCTTCTACTCACCAAAGGATAACGATGATTACTCTTCACATTTGGATAGCTATGAGACGGGCGTTCAACCACTAGCCTTACATGACTATCGACAACGCCATCACCTCACCCCAAGCCAAGCTCATCTCGTCACCGACGTTTGCGGCGAAGCATGCTTCCTCCAACGCTACCGCTTCCGCGACAACTGGGTTCTTGTGAATGGCTACACTATAACTGAGTACCCCGATGGAATCCACCTCTCAGACATGCCTCTTTCCACCGCTGGAAAAGCAAGCTCTGCCCGTCGCTCCGTCATTGGTCCCGTAAAGCTCAAAGAGCGAGACACAGACCGAAAGATGTTGTTCTGGACAGGACGACGAAATGTGTGGAAGTTGATGGACTCTGTCACTACCACTGAGGGTGATGTATGGCAGGCTTACGTGAAAAGGGGTGTTATCGATGAGCCCGCTTTGAAGAAGAGATGGGGTGAGGAAGTGGGTGATATCAAGGACAGTGTTATTGTGCTGATCTGGGAATCAGCGAAATGATTATGATGGCTTCAAGGATTCTTATGTATGTATGTTATGGTTACGGATCGTCCTTTGGATGAGATTTCTTTTAGCACTTATGAAGATTGATATGTTTTTCATTACAAGTTTATTATCAATTTGGCGAAATGATTTATAAAATGATCAGTGTTGGTACAATCTTATATTGTTGATACAGTAATATCATTCTTTTTCGCCATGCTGTAACCAGAAGTAAACCTTTATCTTTTGAAATAGACAAACAAAGAATAATATCCAAACAGCTGTATTCCTCGACTTGGAACAAATAAAAACACCCAATGCAACTCATATCTCATCGTTCTTCGGGGCAATATGCCTAGTCCTGTTGTTTGCGGACGTATAATTTGGCACTCCACTGGCCGAGGTGATTACCCACCCAGTAGTCTTGCCCGTTCTCTTTCTCCTCAATGACATCCTGGTAGTGGGCGAAGAGGTCCACCAAAGACTCAGGGAAGTACACCCGCTCCAGGGTCCCGCGGCGAAGCTCATCGTAACATGTTCTTGTATTCGGAAAGGACTTGCCATCGATCTCGAGAACAATGCCCAGGAACTCGTCCACAGCCTTGGGGCGGTCTGGTGCCCGCTTGACCTCAGCAGTGATATCCAACATCGTTTTCTTGATGTTGCAGAGCCTACAAAACGGGTCGATGCTACCCCCCTTGCCCACGACATGCGGGGTGAACGCCATGCGAGGTATACTGCAAGGCATGGGTGCCCCGTAGAAGGGATGTCCGCAGCCTGGGTGGTAGCATGCGGCCCGGCACTTGATACAGGATACGGGCTGTCCCTGCTCAGTCTTCATGTCGAAGTACTGCTTGATGCACGAGGCGCCAAAGATGTGTCCGCAGGGGAGGATGACGGCCCTGTGGCTCTCACCAACTTCTTCGTCGACGACGTGATCTTTTGGGAAGATCGTCACGTCGGTACGACAGACGACGCACTCAATGGAGACATCCTTAAATTTGATCTTATCGTTGTCAATACTGGCCTGTAGATTTGGCCAGTAGCTATCCTCCGAGTCCTCTGTGATATGTGGGACATCATTAGGGATAGCAAGCCACTCTTCGTTATTAGGGAGGTCTTCAAGAGCACATATTGTGTCCTTGGAGTGGCTGCAGGAGATGTGGTTGAAGATGGAGTTGACGTGTCCACACATGACGAATGATGGATAGAAGATGATGTGAGAGATAAAGTGAAAGATAGTGTGATGAGAGAGTTATATGTCGAGATAGAGAGATGTCGAGATACAGAGAGAGAAGTGTCAAGTCAGAAATGTCGAGAGAGAAATCAGGACAGAGATGCCAAGAGAGAGGTGTCAAGAGATGATAGATGGTCAAGTTGATACAAGTGAAGCTGATGATACAAGATCGTAAGATAGCAGGTAACTTGGTGACAGAAGACAACTTGATGAAAGAAGAAGATGGTTAGATCAGAAGAGGGAGGGAACAATGGGGAGGGAAGCCGTCTTCTTATACGGAGAGGAGTGATTAAGTTTTCTGCTTAGGTCTAGGGCTTCGAAGGGAGACTCTCAGTCCAAGCTCTCGTTTTCAGCGCATATGTTCGCATTTTGAAGCTTGAAACTGACGCAGGTGGTCAGGTGTGATGAAGAAACCGGAACAAAAGTCTATGTCTACACTCAAAATTGTACAAAGGACCAATCAATGGATGTTCCTGGAACAGAGACTGACTCATGGGGCTGAACGTGAAGAAAACCTTTGGCTTTGGCTTTGGGAAAGGTACTTCTGAGAATATTATTTCGTAGTGTTCACGTATTGGTTGAGCTCTTTGATTGAGTCACCTTTGAGTGAATTGTGGCGTTGTGTTCACTTATCCGTGTAAGCTTTACGCCGAACGAGCAGATTTCGAGCAGGTTTTCTAAAATTAACATGGTAGGCTGGCCTCTCACTGGATTTTATCATTCATACTTTTAAACTGCGTCAAATGCCATTGGATCGTGCGAAGACAAACCTAAAGTGTAATCCCCAGATTCTCAGCCTCACCCTCAAAATCTTTTAGGTCAAGTGCAGTCGTGATTTTTCGAAGAAGCCAAAATACAGAGGTCCCGAATCATTATTGTTTTATTACCTTCTTGTTGGAAGCAGTGTAATCCTTTGTAACAGTGGCATGGCCAGAAGTCTATTGGTCACCATATCTGGGGAAATAAAGTATACATTTTCCAACTCCGCTTCAGAGTACTCATCAATCGCGACAACCTCCCCTCGACCAATTATACCCTCCAGATTATTGGCCGCCGTGAATATTGTTTGGCTGGGCTTCAGACTCGAGACGCGAGGGACATTGGTTGGATGCCTGTGGAATAAGCTTTGTCACTCTCATGCCCATGAAATTTGAGAAACGCAGATGACTTCTTGGTTTCAGTTTCGAAAGTATGGAGGCTCTTCGTTCGATGAGAGGTATGACTGCAACATGTTGGCTGCAATATCGGTGCCTGGAGGAGGCGAACCAAATGATCATCCACTCAACACTGGTTCCCACCAGATCCAAAAAGAAGCGTCCAGAACCCACGATAGTCGATACAGGCTTGTGTTGTGTGTCCATGGGCTCTCTTCATGTCCAGTGGAAGTTGCGAGGAGATTGCTCTCACAGTACATGTTTCAGGCCAATTAGCAAAGGAGAAAAGCTCTCATTACAAGACAGAACGCGAATCAAGCCAATAGTAAAGAGCCCATACTGCAGCATAGTTCTATGACTCTTATTTTATTGTTCGTAGCACAGTTATGAGCGATTATACTCACGATGGACAGATCTTGGGAACAGCGGAACCAGAAGTGAGGAGGCGTTGATGGCACTGGTAACGAAGTGATTGAATTATGTGGTTAGATGCCAGTCACGACTCTTTTTCTGCACCTCAACACTAAGCTTGAGGTACTTTCCCTTGTTCATGTCATACACTGCTTTTCCCTTGCCACAGTTACGGTTTATCATCCACTCTCCCTTACGCTCGTTCCGATACCCATACAACCCCACACTACATCGACATCTTCTTAGCTTATCCAGGTAGGTTTTGAGCAGCATTTTATCTGGTGACGTGGAAATTGGGAGCCTGAACTGTAACATGGAATGATCTTTTGAGATGTTGCTCTAGAATGTGGCATCCATCACTGTCCTTCCCTTTGAGCACCATATACAGAACGGTAAGGGGGATACTAACAGGGGCGTGATCATCCAGTATTTGCATATATTTTGGGCTTCTTGCTTCGAAGAGAATGTTAGATAGTGCCTTTAGACCAAAATGAGATATGTTACCCAGCCTGCAGGATTGTATTCATCCATCCCATGTGTTGGCACTACTTTAACAGGCCATGTGCCCTTGAATAAATCAGATACGGATATCATCCCGCCCACGCTCGGATACTTTATTTCTAACTACTAGGACGAATGTGCCATAAATGACAGTATGGGCGTCTCCGTAATCTACCCCCCAAATAGTCCAAGGATGTTGTGCTATATCTCCGGCCTACGGTAGTGGGACTTTTCCCTCTACCTTGATGCCAAACTATCCCGGACTCTACTCTACATTAGCGTTAAGAGCCTTCGTTTCTCAATACCAACGACTCTCGGACAAACAAGCCAGCAGCAATACGAAGCTCTAGAACAACTATTACCATCCTGGCGCCCCGGTAAAGGCCCGTGGCCTGAGATTTCAGCAGCAAATGCTAAAGATTTTCCATGGCTCGAAGGAACAGATAGCATCAGTTTGGCTTAGACTTGTTGGAGGGGGATATCTGGCCCTGTTTGGAGTTTGGTAATTAAGATTGTCGACTTCTGTCTATCTCCCTTGGTTTGTATTTGCTCTTCTGCCAGTTGCGCACTTCTGATTACGTGTACATATTAAGATATAAATAAGAGCCTAAAAGCCGTCTCTTGGATTTCGTCCAGTACAGCCTTGGCTTTCCGTCTTCATCTCTATATACAATATTCCATCTGTAGTCAAGTGCTAACAAATGCATCTACAGACAGCCGTTGTATCCTTTGTCAAGTGAGCACAAGCCACTTTATACTATATATCATCTCGACACTTGCGAAACTATCATGATCTTCTACCACTATACAGTGATAATGGTCCTCGACCTGGATCCCAAGCTAAGTAGGCGGCCAAAGTGAACTCCTTTCGCCATTACCAGTGAGAAAAGGTCAGTACCAGCGACTGCGTGTCTTTCGTCTGGACTTCGGTCCTGTCAGTGGCAGTCACAGTTCCAGTGGCAGTGGTAAGGACGAAGGCATCACTCTGGTTGAGAGCATGTTCGAGTTCCACTTCTGTTCTGTCCCTTTATCACAACAGATCCGAGACATCTTCAACTCTTTCTTTATTTCTCCTTACAACAACTTCGAGGTTACTTTCTCCACAGCCTTGGACATTCACCAAGTCCGGAGTCCTTCAAGGTAACCCTAACTTTCAACTGCATCCTTCTTTCACCCACTCCCATCATCTTCATACCTGGCTAACATAACAGCCAGAATAAATTCTACTTAAGGCCACAAACAATTGTCGACTTATTTCAGAATAGCCTCCGAAAGAATCCCCATATACCAGCACCTACTGTCAACCACAAACCCCAAGCAACATGCCTAACCAGGAGCACTTCTGGCCTAATCTCAAGGCCTTCGCCGAGAACAACGGGATCGCCAATATGGAAACTCTCGGACTAGAGTGTGTCGTTTGCAGAGATTCATTCCACTACCGAGGCCCAAGCGATGATGAAACTCAGCCTCCACGTCGACCTCGTGTCCTCCCATGCGGCCACATTCTGTGCGCTAGATGCCTGCTCGCATACTATGACACAGGTGATTCCCGCTGCCCTATCTGCCGCGCGGAACTCATGCACGACTGTGGCCACGCTCACACCGGCATGCCTCTGCCCCTGATTCCAGCGAACAGGGACAAGCTGCCTCCCATCCTGACCCAAGGTGGCGGTATGCCACGAGGATGTGGCCCCTGTGGCATCCTGGGTTTGCAGCGACTCTTTGAACGGGAACTGCGCAACAACCCAGATATTCCAGAGGAGCTCAAGGGCGAGTACTTGGGTATCGGCATTGTGCTCTACAACACTGATGAGTACTACTCGCGGGAGGTAATTGGGCCCGTTCTCGAAATCGAAGCCCCTACCTCCATCAAGCATATGATGAGCGAGATTGTCGACTACGCAATCCGATCGCAGCGACGAAACCAGGTTTGGTTGGAAGCGGACTTTAGCTCCATGAAGATTCGGGTGCTTCACTTCAAGCCTGAGCTTCTGTCACAGGTGGAAGAGGCCCCTGCTGTGAAAGAAACTGCCCCCCAAGATGGCAACTGATGGCCATGTAAGAAACAGGCTTTTCATGACGAAGAGACGTGAGATTCGGGAAGGCTTTGGTTCCTAGCCCAGGTAGAGGATGACCAGATTTTGGACGATGATACCCCTTAAGAGAAATATCTTGACTATGTGCCGGACAAATAGATCCGTAGACATCGGTAGCTATGTAATTAGGTACCTTGAATAAAAACATGCATTCAGGAACTGTCGGTTTTAGTGTAAGAGAGTTTCCCCATTTGTCTTTACAAGTAACTAGTCATGTAACTGAGACTATCATCATGGAATAAGTAAACTCAGGACACTGAAAGGGGATGCCAAATGTATTTGGTAAAGAGACCCTCAAATTTGGTCTAACTTGCCTAGTTTAATAAGACTGAAGTCCTAGGTTTACTTTCTTCACCCTGCTCAAGATATCACTTTCTTGTGATAAGGAGTACCAAAGCTGTGCCGTGTCTGCCTTTATTGGCCATAAGGTGTTGTTCTTTCTATCATAGAGTAAGAGAAAATATACAGTCACTTATGTTCAACTATTTCGAAAGCCATGTTCGTTGTGCCTACTTGACAAGTCAATTTATCCCTACGTGTTTTCTAAATATCTCAATAACGAAGAACGCCATCGATTTTCAAATGCCCCCAGTACCCTCAATGACACTCACCTCAACTGTCCCCAGAAGTAGTAATCGATCCTAAGTCGTCTTTATGCTCACTTCGCAAGCTTTTAGTCCACAAACCTTCCCTCCTCATCTTCCCTACCTCCGCGAATGTGCCTAGCAAGAGAAGTGCCAAATCGGTAACCACGAAGCACAACCCCACCAACAAGTGGGAGACCAGCCAAGGCGTGGAGTGTGGGATGCTCGACCCTAAACCTTTGAAATGCCGACTGCATCTCCTCCTCTTCAAACTCTATACAATCGAAAATGATCCCCATCAACCGTTCTTGGCGTGCTGCCTCTCCCTTGTGCTTCTTGAAAGCCTCAGCACCGGTAAACGCCTCGGCTAGCTCGAGTGCATCCTTGCGAGCATGGGCAAGTCTACCAGGATGAGTGATGTCCCATGTGTGCCACTTCACAAGGCTTAAATACTCCAACTGGCCTCTTTGATGCCGATAGAGCTCGTGGTCCGCGGGGTAGGACTTACAAAGGGCAAGTTGAAAGTCAAAGGAGGAGGTGTCATCGCCTGGAGCACGAGGCCCGTCCCATGCTTCGGCGAGGCTGTCTCCCGCAATTCTAAAGAATTCCATAAGCTCCGGCGATATCGGCAACAGTTTGATCTCTTCACTGCAGTCAGATTCGATTCGAACATTCCAGTTGTCGCGTTTCACAGCCCGAACTCGTAATATATGTCCGTCTTTGATCAACGGTTTGGGATCATGTATGTAGAGAGCGATACTTCTCAATCCATTGACCAACATAGACAATTGACAGAAGGCGCAAGAACCCTTCTCTTTGGAGAGTTCATCCTTCAGTTTATCCAAAAGGCCCTCGTCTTGATGCTGAGTGGGATCGAATAGCGTCTCTTTGTCCGGACACCCACAGACTCTGCCTTTAAGATCAAAGCGACAGAGAGGACATTTATGATTGATGCCATTGGCTCGGTTGTACTCTCTGTACTCTTTGACACAAGGGGGACAGTACATATGGCCGCAGGGGAAAATGATGGCACTGCAGGTCTTGTCTTCTGGATTGCTCATCTTGTCTTGACACATGCCACATTCGATCTCTAGGCGCTCGATAGCTGTGGGATCATTGTTGATGATCTTTGAAAGCTCTGGATAGTAGGCTGCGGTGATGGGATCTTTGCTAGAAGACATTTCGAGAGACTGGTCACTGTCAGTTGACATGGTTTGATAGTATTGCTGGTGGTTGATGGATGGGTGGAAGAAATTCCTTTCTACAGAATATCCAGAGGTGAGTTAGTGTTATATACCTTTTTAATCAAGGCTTATGATTATATCGCTGTCACTGAACATAGTCGTTGTGCGGCTGGAGTTTTCAGGTTTATGATACATGAACGGCTCTTCATCTGTTGATCTTACAGGGCCTTTGTTAGCACATAAGTAGACAGCCTTGCACAATGGGCTTGTTGAAGGAACAGACAGCAGCTAACTATGTTCTTTGATAGCATGATCATCAACTCTCTAGTTGTACTGTGCGAGTTCTTCCATCAATGTCACTGGGGAACATTTGTCCTATCCTTCAGCAAAGTTCGTTATCCTGCTATGAAGCAGAGCCGATATTTTCGTTTATAGATACCAGAGAAGATACTTATTACCTGATGATAAGGTTATAAGAGTAATTCATGCTATATTCATGATATAGAAGTCACTAGAACTTGTAAAAAGTAAAAAGGGGAGGGTCTCAGTTAGTGGAAGATACTGATAAATAACCCTATTTAGAAGACAGCCAAGAAGAATTAGAGACAGCCCCAGGCTACGCCTTTCATATGTCATCTTGGTTCGAAAAGTCCTATACAAAGAACATCATAGACTTCAACAGTAGGGCTGCTAGGCTATCTGGTTATCATATGGCCACAACGGAAACATAACGATGAGTGCAGCAGTTTATTCCTTGATCCATTACTGGGTATCTGTATGGAGCGAGGAAAATCACCTACTATGCTTCACTTACCTTACCTACCTTACTTACATTGTCTTCAAACTACTATGTACACATCTGGCAATTCATCTTCATCATCTCCATCTTCAACATCCACCTCTTCAACTTCATTGTCCTCTATTCTCTGAAATATGCTCTTTGATTCACGATCTGCTCGCTCGTAAATCTTTTTTCGAACATTCTCATCGGACCAGACATCACGCAGATCGAAAGCAAGGCCCAAAAGCATAAGCTTCCGGTTACCTGCCCAATGGTCTCGCATGTCCTGCTCCGTCTGTTCGAAATGGTGTTTCTCCCAGACAAGAACCTCATGCTTTTTGTTCCTCGGTTCATAGATACGAAGCTCGTATTTAAAAGCCGTTGAGCCAGCGGGCACCGCAATGCCATGCGCCTTTAGCAGGCCCTTCTCAATAATCTTGACAGGTACATCAAGATGTATAGGTAACGGCTTCTGTTCAACGAGCTTACAGTCGAGATATTGTGAGGGATCACCCCATGTCTTACCTTCATATTCGACCGACATTCTCAGAACCTTCCCATTGTCAATCAATTCAGTGGAATCCTGCCATATCTTCGCCAGTACGTGCAGCCAGGATGACAACATGCCCACATCACAATTGAAGCAGTGCCCCCGTTTATGCCACAGCTTTAGGATGTCCTCTATAAGCGCAATTGACTTCTCACCATCCATTTGAATCAACCTGCCCTTCTTGGAGGGGTTTGGGCAATCCTCGCAATGTAAACATGCACGACATATTGGGCAAACATAGTGGGACTTCTCATTATTCTTGCAGTGGGCCACCATTTCGTCTACGCATCCGTTACAGTAGATGTGCATGCAAGGTAGGACAAATGCACGGAGGCGAGGATCATCTTCATCTTTGAATGTCATCTGTTCGTGGCAGATTCCACAGGTGAGTTGGATATCCAGAATATCGTGAGAAAAATCATCACAAGCTTGCAAAAATGCCGGGAAGAAGGTTTCAGTGATAGGCATATTGACGGTGTGATCGAAAGAGCTGCCGAAAAGGTGTTGGCTGATGTAGTTGTCCAGTTGGTTAGAGATGAGATGCCGGTGCGAGTTTGTCGGTGTACAGAGGCGTGCTTGGGTGCTTGATCATTCATTCTCATGACTGGATCTGATGCTTTTATATAAACTGTCTCCAAGATTAAATCTTTCTCTTTGTTTAGTCATTTTGAACATTGTAAGAGTTCAGACAGACGTGATATGTGAGCGTTAGGTACAACTCATTGTCGACGGATAAACCCAACGAATACTTCAAGATCACATAGATACGTCCACCAAGTTCCGATGGACTCAATTGACAATCCCAGTACATAATCTGAACAGTAGAGACTGAGAGAACAAGTTCGATTGTTTATTCTCAAAGTCCTCTCTGTGGTTGGTTCCAAGAGCCAACAATGCTCTTTGTCAGTCTAACAAGTCTTTAGACACCGTTCAAGTCTGCGCCAACCCATTTGAGTATAGGAAGTTGTCAACTGATTTCTAATAATAGTTACCTTTCAATATGTGAATATCAAGAACCCATTGATTACTACTCTTACTACTCCGGACTTGCGACCAACACCCAATGCCATGGTATCTGTTGTTGGGAATGAATTCCGCATGGGCTTCCGCAGTGACGTAGGGTAACGTGATCAACATCGACCCTAGCAATGCAACGTTGAGGGATGTTTCAGAAAAATGTGAAATCTGACGTGTCCCAATCAGATTTGACTGTAACCTGCTCCAAGGCCTGTACTTTCCATTTATGGAAGGTATTCAGTGGAGTCAGGCCATTTGCTGGCCATGATCGTCGCTTGGTTTACAACGCTATCGTCGTATCTCCAGCCTGTCAGTTGGCTCACTTCGGACGACATTTCTTGTTTCACTGCGATATGACGGCTGCGTCGTATTGAAGTTTCTGTATGTAGTTTGTATATGCAGTCAAGTTCTTTAGCATGCGAACTGCTGTGTAAGCACTCAGTCAGGTTATTGCCGAAAAGTACACCACCATCTTCAATCCAATGCACTTCAACGAATATGGACCAAAATATTGGCGTTTCAGCTCAAAAATAAGCCACAGCGCTTGCGGGAGACTCGACCGAAAGATATCAGTGCTTTTCATCCCCTATGTCCAGCTGTCAATCTTCAATTGGGTACCGAGTATCTGGAAGGCATATTCTGCTAAGCGCCTGGGAGCTCGGTTATATATCAAGTGGGACGCCCAGCCAGTTGGGAGCTGATCCAGCAGAACGGTAACGTATCGCTACCATTCACTCGGACCACAACTCAGCCCTAAGTCTAGATAGTGGTGTTGATAATACGGTGAGGAAATATAACCTCCCCTCGAGACCAAGTCTCTGACATTAGGACTGTCTAGCGCCAACAGTTTATTTCTCTTCTTCCATACAGATGACATGAAAAATGTCCAGAATGGGGATCAGGCATCATCAATATGCAGGAACACCGAAATAGTGCTTTGGATAGAGCTAAGAGGGTATCAAGTTCAGTCCATTGGTGAGAATATCTTCATTTCCTGCTGCAGTCAGCTCGTTTGCCGCCGTTCTAGGTCTTTCTGCTCTCGGATCATGCCCGCTCAGGACATGAGAAGAAGAGTTCTCTATAGCAACGCGGGCCTTGATATAGCCATGAAATTGTATAAAGAGCTGAAGTATCAGCTGCTTTTGAGATTCTGCAGACACATTCATCAGATCAAACATACACCGACAGGTTTCGGGTTCCTTTTCATTCATTCGTTCTCTCGTTCGTTCATCGCATCAGCTACTTCATTCTTTTGAGTTTCATTATGAAGTCTTCACTCTTTATCGCTTCCTCTCTCCTTTCACTATTCCCCTCTTGCCTTCAAGCAATGGCCATCCAAGGCTTTCCTGAAGACGTGAGAATCGGCGAGCTGACCTTTGTCGAAGGTGGAAACACCACCACGACAAAGCGTGACGTCGCAGTGGCCCCTGAAAACTGTTGGGTTCAAGGCCTTGGCCAAGCAAGCTACTATTTGCTCCCCGTCTACTCGGGCGACGATGTGTATGCCTGCATCATGGCCCGCAAGAGGATGACAGGCGGGTCCTGGGTCTGTCCCAGAGACGACTGGTGGCCAGACTCTTACGTTGACGAGATCGTCTCGGCCGGTCAAGAACAGATCTTCAAAGAAGGCACCGGTGAAACCACTGAAAAAGGAGTTTTCAAGGCCCGGTTCGAAGGAACCACTCGCAAGATTAAGGATCCGGAGGGCATGTCAACCTTGTTTGATATGCTGTTCCGATATACTATGCCCAACTGCGATGCTAGTTATTCACTCTGCGTGACTAAGTCTCGCCAATACTACTACCAGTACAAAGGAGATGTAAGTATCCCTTGCACTGATTCATCTGAGATATGCTAACAGAGACAAAGGCCATTGGCATCAAACATAAAGAGTCCGATTGCCGTGGATGATTTGGTATTGGCGGCGACACCTACGCTTACTGCCCTGGAGAGAGTCACTGCCAAAAAGATTGAAGGGAGATTTGGGTTTGTTGGCCTCTGTTCATATGTTTGGTTCCTGGCTTATATTTATCTTGGTTGCGCATTTTCGAAGGGCTGTGTACTATGTATAACATGTACCACGTACGATTTAGTATTATCTGTTGTTAGTTGAAGCGATGTGCGGATGAGAATGAATGGATAAGTAATTGGTAATATCTTTATTTCGGCTGTGTCCGCGTATTCAAGTTAACCTTCATTAAATAACCTTCATTAAAGAGTTACATTATACCCCACGCGCGTTACCATGGATGTGGTGCCTGTAAATGAAAGACCGATTAACAAAGGAGACGTCATTTTAGGTTTGCGAAAATTACGAACAGTAAAAGCTCACAGAGGGATTCTGAGGCAACGTTAGATATTATCGTTCTTTTGTTGGCTTGAAGCGCGCGGCTCGCAAGTTTCTATCTCTAGTGCCCGTTTCCCGTCCACGGGAGTTGAAGTCCTCATTGAGCCACAGCCAACGAATCCGATACGAGCAATGCCGCTGCAGACCACAAAGGGGGACCTGTTTCAGCATAGACGGCTGGCATCCAATCAAGCCTCTGATGTCATGAGCCCCCCAGAGTGCCCAGTTTTCGCTGCTTAACTTCGCTAGGTGGGGGAACTTATCCTGTCGGCTAAGCAGCCGCTGCAGCGCACGATCCAGTGAAACCCCCCTGTTGGAAAGATTAGTGCACATGTGTCCAATCATACACCGCTCCGTTCTTCTTTTGGAATTGGTTGCCGCCCGTGGGAGGGCAGGGGTCGCCAGTCATGACGCGACCGATAATAGGTGCAAGTCCAAACACCGAATATCTTGGAAACTCAACCTAGTACCTTAAACCCTCTTTTTCGTTACACCTTCATCCCAAGATATCTGTTACTTGTTTTCTTTTTTACAAATAGTTTGGCTAACGGTGTATCGCCAACCTTGTCAACTGTCGTACTCTATCACTTATCACGTTTCAGATTGTGCTCCAATCCCTTACAATATTCTTTGAGAACAGGCCCTTTCAGTATTCTCCCCGTTTGGGGCTTCCACTCTCCTCCCTCCTCCTGTTCCCAAGTTTCAAACTGTCGACGGCTTCAATTTCGACATGTCGTCAACAGGTTCAGACGCTTCGGCGTCAGCGACCGATTCGGCTACAGGAACAGCGGCTTCGGTCACCAGCTCTATCGTGAGCTCCCTCCTGTCCTCAGCGATCTCCGCCTCCGAAACGCTAAGTGCATCTGTCACCTCGTCCGATGAGCCAACAAAAACGTCTTCGGGAGGACTGGCAGGAATGTCTCCATCGCAGACCAGCGCTGCAGACAAGGACAAGGGAATCGGCATCGTCAGTTTTCTCACTGCCGTGGCTGTCGCTGTAGCAGTTTTTGCAGTCCAGATTCTGCTTTTCCTAATTCTTCGCAATAAACTGGCTCGCATTTTGTAGGTTGAAGCCGATCGTCGTTCCTGACTTCGACATCACTGACTCTTCCTAGTAAACCCAAGACCTATTTGGTGCCCGAACGAGAACGAACCGAATCACCGCCTAATAAGCCCCTTGCTATGCTAAAGACATTATGGCATTATGGAGACCGTGAAGTTATCGAAAAATGTGGTCTAGACGCCTATTTCTTCCTTCGCTACCTCAAGACACTTCTGATCATTTTCCTTCCCATTGGCGCCATTGTTATGCCGATTCTGATCCCTCTGAACTACGTTGGTGGTCTTGGACAAAAAGTTGATGTCAGGGATGACGACGATGAAAAGAATCAAGGCACACCTACCGGTCTCGACACACTCTCATGGGGAAACGTCAGTCCCAAGAACTCTAGCCGATACACAGCACATTTAATCATGGCCATCCTGGTGGTTATTTGGGTCTGCACGGTTTTCTTCTTTGAGCTCCGGGTATACATCAAGGTTCGACAGGACTACCTTACAAGCGCTGAGCACCGACTCAGAGCTTCGGCCACTACCGTTCTAGTCAACTCTATTCCTGCCAAGTGGCTCAGCGAAGACGCTCTAATGGGTCTCTTCGATGTTTTCCCTGGAGGCATAAGAAATATTTGGCTAAACCGAGATTTATCATCACTTTTGGACAAGGTCAAGGAGCGGAACAAGATTCACCTGGCACTCGAACAAGCAGAGACAGATCTGATCAAAGATGCCAAGAAAGCACAGCTTAAGCAGCAAAAGGCAGAAGAGAAGAAACGTCGCAAAGAATTGAAGCTTAAAGCCGAAACAAAACAAGAAAGGGCAGACCGGAATGCTAAGGACGACGCGGCAGCCCAGCGAATGGCACAAAGCGCTTCAGGTACGACGGCTGGCGATCAACATAATGTTCCCCACAGTGTGGATGCTGGTGTTCGTGAGTCTCAATATGAGACGTACAACCATGACGTTGAGCATGAGCATGAGGAGCACAACAAAAAGAGGGGCTTCAGGGTACCTGTCCTAGGCGATCCGCTCGCTAAAGTCGGGCATG